ACTGGAAAATGCATTTATTGACTTTATCAATTCTAAAAATTCTGAATTCTACTCAGACGGAATTAATAAGTTACCAACACGTTGGGAGAAATGTATTGAGAGTATGGGAAATTATTTTGATTAAAGAACATTGCTTTAAAGTAACTAGTTTCTTTTTTTTGTTTAATACCAAAATCCTGCATTATTTTCCGGACAACCCAATAGTTCAGAAATTGTGCAGAAAATCATATCGACCAGAATTATTATTTTTTATTTTAGTTTTTACAAATTGCACAAAAAATGATATAGTCAGGAATTTTTTTTTTTAAATTTCAGTTCAGAAATTGTGCAGAAATTCATATTGATAAGAATTATTACTTTTATTTTAATTTTCAAAATTTGCACAGAAAATCATATAGTCCGGAATGTTTTTTTAAAAAAATTTTAGTTCAGAAATAGTGCGGAAAATCATATAGATTAGAATTAATTTTTTTCTCATTGTAGTTCACAAAATGCACAAAAAAATCATATAGACAGGAATTATTATTTTTTCTTATTTTAGTTCAAAAATTGTACAGAAAATCATACAGATTAGAATTAATATTTATTCATATTTTAGTTCAGAAATTGCACAACAAAATCATATAGATCGGAATTATTATTTTTTCTTATTTAGTTCAGAAATATTGCAGAAAATCATATAGATTAGAATTAATTTTTTTCTTATTTTAGTTCACAAAATGCACAAAAAATCATATTTACAGGAATTATTATTTTTTCTTATTTTAGGTCAGAAATTGTACAGAAAATCATATAGATTAGAATTAATATTTATTCATATTTTAGTTCAGAAATTGCACAACAAAATCATATAGATCGGAATTATGTTTTTCTTATTTTAGGTCAGAAATTGTACAGAAAATCATAAAGATTAGAATATATATATTTTCATATTTTAGTTCAGAAATTGAACAAAAAATCATATCGATCGGAACTAAAATACGAAAAAAATATTAATTCCGATCTATTTGATTTTCCGTACAATTTCTGACCTAAATAAGAAAAAAATTAATTCCGGTCTATATGATTTTCTGTCCAATTTCTAACCTAAAATAAGGAAAAAAAGGAGTTGCGATCGATCTGTTGTACTGTACTTAATTGAAACACTGGGTTGCCGATTATTCGACTGTTTTCCAATAAGGCATATTTAATAAATCAATACGTTCGTATTGAAAAAATAATTAATTAAAAAATAAGCGTGATTTATAGAAATTGACCTTTTTTATAAAAAATAATCGGAACTGCAATTTTGAACTTTAAAAATATACTTTCTGTATAATTAAAATATGAATTTGTCAACGTATATCTCTAAAATAGTCGAAGTCCTTTCCGACGGGGTTAACATAAAAGGCGGCGAGAGATAACGCGTACAGGGTGCGGTAGTGGGGTTGGTCGTAGGGTCCTATTTGCCGGAAGCTCCGACGTTATATTCTTCGTTCCAGTTTCAGCAAAGAGCCATGACGGCACATACGACGACGACCCTGGTCGCCATCCTCTTCTGTTTAGCCATCGGGGGAGTAACAGGTAATCGGGTTTTTCTTACTACACGATGGGAAGCGAGGGCTTAAGACGTTCGTTTCTTAGGCGACTTGACTAGAAGTTCTGTTTTTTTAATATGCAGTATTTGCATATTGATACGTGTAATTTTGCCTGTTATTTCGTTTTTTATTTTGAAGAAAATCTTCACACCTTTAATGAATCTTATATCCCGAGACGCCGGGTGTCTGAATTTATCCGAAGTTTGGGTCCGATCCCCGGTCTCGTCCTTGGGATGGTAAGACTTTAATTTAAATTGTAAATTGTCGGTTTGACCCGTTGGTCAAGACACCTGCAGCGAGTCGGAAACCGTCCTGAAAAATCTATATAAATATATACACACACACAAAAACAAAACAAATTTGGTAAATCATACCGACGTACAACCTACTGACGATCGGATTTAATTCATTTACCTGCGCGATGACAGCGTAAAAAATTATTAATTAGATTGGAAGCTCAAAATTATTTTTAAAAAATCGTACGGAGAAAATTCCACCAGAGTAAACTGAGAAAAATCGTATTTCTTCTGTTACTAGAAAAATATCAATTGCCAAAAGGAGTCGTAAAAATTGATATTTATTGTCTATTACAGAAAGCGAACTGATTGGATTGTATTACATACTGACTGATAAGGCTGGACATGGTAAATCTTTTTTAGAAAAATTCTTTGCCTTCTGTTCAAAACCTCATAGCACTAATGAAATGACCGATCCGTTTAACAAAAATATTGTCAGCAGTTTGTTTAAGCCTGTTAAATGAAGGCTAAATAAATAACTACTCTTTGATCAAAGCCAAAAGGCAGATAAACTGGGAAAAAAAATAAGAACACTACATGTTAAATGTTAAAGTGAATAAGTTCTTCAGTGGTCTTTTTAATTCAAAAGGCAGAACTAAAGAAGAACATGGACACATTCGAAGATGAATGTTGGACTAAGAATTTTCATGAGCGAGGGTGTGAGGGTCGAAATCATATTTTAAAAAAAGCTTTCCCACAATTTATTTATTTTTCCATGGGAGGTGGAAAAATCCTAGGAAGCCGGACTAAGCGTTTTTTTCTACTTTCACACAAATTAGAAATTGGCTACAAAATTAGACGATCGATTATTTTCCGTTTTTCAAAAATGACAGGATAGAATTTCAAACGTCCAGCCGCCAGTGGAAGACGAGGTTCATTCCAAATCGTCCAAATCCGTTTGACTAAGTGATTAGTAACATTCTAGGTGAGGTATTTTTCTAACCTTTTATTTTTTTTATTTTTTGGTTTGCTCCGTCAAAAGAACGATTTCGCCCCTTCGCTTGTAAAATCATCCATAACATTTCAAAAAGATACAGTTCAACAAACAAAAAAACCTGAAATCTCATTTTTCATTCAATTGCACTCAACACGTAAAGCAATAAAACGTTTTATAATATTTTTTATTTAATTCAACCTCGGTTAAAAATAGCAAAACTTAATTTTTGAAGTTCACATTGTTGTTTGTTTTGTTTTTAAATTTCCTTGGATGAAACCCGTCAACAGACTGTAATAAATGAACTTCAACGATCTTTTTGACGTTTTAATCCTGGATGTCCTGGAATCTGCGAATAGGCAAAGAAAGCGACTCTAGATTCCCTAACCATTGTAGCACGTTGGGGTTAAATACACAAAGCTGCGAACATAAACGAGTAAAGTTGTCAGCAAGCAAATTAAGCCACTCCAGGCTTTAAGCAAAGCTAAATGAAATGCCCACGACTAAGCACAAAAGGAGGAACTGGTCAATTTCCCTCGTTTTATTTTTAGTGGTCTAGATTCAATTAATCATTTCATCGACTGTTTTCTTAACGAAATAACCACGGACTAAAAAACTACAAGAAAAAAAAAAGGAAAAAAGAAAACTATTTCCCTAGTTGGGAGCCAATCTTGTTTGAGGAAGTACGGTATCTCGTTTCCTGAGAAGATTCAACGTTTCCTCAGTTCTCCTTTTGGTTGTGATGTCTCTGTCGGAATTTAAGGACCATACCTCAAGCCGTGAGGGCCGGATTGAAAAAAGGAAGTTTATTCCCACAGATAAACGTTCTTCATGGTTTACGGACTCGGTTTCAAGAAGGATATATCTTGAAAGCGACAAGACGATCGCACACTAAACACTGATAAAGGATTCTTAGATTTTTCACAATAGTATCACTCCTGACTAAATACACTAGAAACGTACAACAGAGACATCCATTCACTATACATAAACTATGATGCAAGCACGTCGTTTTGTATACACACGTCTCGCTATCATTGAGACGTCCGGGTATCATGAATAGTCCACCGACTATCGGCCTTATAGTTTCTTGTGCAAAATGTATCAACGTGGAGTCCTATTTTATGAAATGTTTTGCGTACTGGGCGAGAATTTATGGTTTGACAAGTCATCACGTATGAACACGGTCAATTCGTATATCCAAAAGAAATTTTTTTAGTCTTTCATACCGTCGACGGTTTGAAATCCTATCCACTTCGTCGTAATTTTCATTTCATCCTATACAACCTTTCTTCGTTCGGTTTTTGTTTTAAGCTTGCTAGGCTTTATGTAAGTCCTTCCTCCCAGCCCCTTCGCAGAGATGATGGTTCTTGGGCCAAGTCCGAAGAAGAAAAAAAACCCTGTTTCTTAGCCCAGCCCGGCATTCATAATCCTCTATAGACAAGTGAAATCGAACAAGATTTGAGCACTCCTTTACCTTTTTCTCTTCCTCCTAAAGCATTTTCACCTTCCGATACTAAACACATAATCAATCACCTACCCCTCAAAAAGAGTCCGGGATTTGATTTGATTACGCGTCAAATCCTTCGGTACCTACCAAGTAAAAAGCCCTCGTTTCCTTACTTACATCTTTAATTCCATCCTGCTTACAGCTTAGGAATAGTAGTACTTCCTACTATTTGGAAATTTTCCAATATAATTCTTTTCTATAAAGCAACCAAACCTGTCAATTTTCCTTCATCTTACCCCCCTATCAGTCTCCTTCCTGTAATGAATAAAATTCTCGAGAAACCCCTATTAAAACGCTTATACCCTATTATTTAATCCCAAGAAACTATTCCGAGTCAACTGTTTGGATTTAGGTCCCTACACTCTACAATCCATCAATGTTCTCGCCTTGTGGACGTCATTCCATTCTCCATTGAAAAGGGTTTGAAACCCGAGCCTCATATGGAAACTGAAGGCCATCTTATACAGTAACTACTACCTTATTCTAAAATCGTGTATGTCTGACCGTTACTTCAGAGTGAGTCAGGGCACAGCGATATCCTCTAACTAACCTATCCAAGCTGGCGTCCCACAAGGGAGCATTCGCGCACCTCTCCTTTACACGTTATATACTGCTGACTTTCCTATCCTTCCATCCTTCCAGAAACAATTATCCACTTTTGCAGACGATACAGCAATCCTTTCCGCGCATAAAGATTTAGTCACCGTATACAAAAGCCTTCAAAACCATTTGCAGAGCCTCAACGTTTGGTCCAAAAAGTGGAGCACTAAAATAAATGCAACGAAGAGCCAATACATTAACTTCTCACTCAGACGTGTTACACTACCATCCACTTACTTAAATGGGATTTCACTACCCCCTGTCAAACACGTACTTTAACTTGAGGCTGCACTTGGACGAGACTTGCCTGGAATCCGAACACAAGACTAAAACGAAACGAACTAAACAGACGTTACAAACTGTTATTACCACTATTCGACAGACGATCCAAACTTCCAACTTAATTACAAAATATTAATACACCATGGATCTCAATCCTATGTGGACTTGTAGCATCGAACTCTAGAGTATACCAAGCATTCCGACTCCCAACGCATCCAAAGATTCCAATCAAAAGACCCAAGAAGAATATTTAACATTCCTTGTTATGTATTAAACCTCACCCTACACCAAGACCTTTATACTCCCTTTGTACCAGAAGTAGCGATACGCTATTACAAAAAATTCTGTCAGTCACTTTCCACACATCCCAATGCCTTGGTCCATCAGCTCAGTTCCACTATTATCCCAGATCATCCTCCCCGTCGACTCAGACGCCGATGGCCACGTGATGTCCAATGTAGTGACGAAGAAAATTAAAAAATGGTCATTATTTCTCCTAAAGGAGGCTCACCACTGGGTGATATCTCCTCACATGTTTTTCATGTCAATTTTGTCCCTACAGCATTTTTACCGTTGAAATTGTTTTACAGATGTAAAAATCAATAAAACAAAAACAGCCAGCCTGCAAGCAGACACTTCAGAAATAGGAAAGGATATGTTTTCTATAAATGACCAAACCATCTCACCCTCTTACCTAAGGATTATGTACATAGACGAGCCTGCCCTGTACACGACCAAACCATATTCAATAAGTTTCAAATTGAACATAAAAGAAAATTTAGTAATGGCATACTGTAGCTGGTAGTGGATAAGCCACGTGTCCATGTGTACACATTTTGTGACAAAAGGAGAGGGCAGGTGTTGGCTGTTTTGACCACTACTTGTACAATGAAAACGAATACTAGCCGTTAACTTCCAGTAGCTGGCACTAGTCAAAAAGTGTACCTCAAATTGCATGCCAGTTACTAGCAGTAAAACAGCTATTGCCCGTCCCTGACGTTGCCAGTGCTGGCTGGTATTGTTAGTAATTTGCCAATAGCTGGCAACGTGCCACTCAGGCAAAATGGAGCAACTACTGGCTCGCTATATCGACATCCATGGTCTTCAACCAACAGCTCCTCCCTTCTCAGGGCCACCAAAAACCCCAGCCATTAAATAGCTATTATTCAATACAAACTAAATTGGATAATTACTGGTGAATTGTTTAAAGAAAAGCTTGCTAGAAAGTTCTTAGTATAAAAATCGTCGGTTATACAAAATATACACTGATGGACAAATTTAATGCACCACTCAATTTATTTAGTTCAAAATAAACCCAGTATCTTTCTACATTAGTTACAGGTAGTTAAGAGCTAATCATAGTCAAAATAAAAAGTAAATAATGTTTGTTTATTTACTGATTAATCCCATTTGCACAAAATGGAGCATTATGCCTTTCCATTCTGCTACGCCAGTTAATCTTTTCCCTTTATTGAAAACATTTGATATTATTCTTATTCTTAAACCTTTTTCAATGGCTCCAGTAAGGCATTTGAGTATGACAGGGTCATAACATTATTAGAGGAATGGTAGCCAAGCGAAATCGCCAGAAGACTGAAGAATCACTCTACAGTAGGAAGGGTTCCTCGGCGTTTCAGAGAAACAGGACTTCCCACTAGAAGGCCAAGACAAGGTCGGCCTAGTCTACAGACGAGAGAGAGACGATTGAGTCATCCGTCATAAGGCTCTACGAAACCGCAGCATTACGAGGAATGAGATAAGAAATCTGATAAGACAAGTCGGAAATGTTTCGACTTCCTCCAGGACTGCAAAAAGAAGGCTTAATGAAAATGAACTCATGGCCTGTCACCGGCCTCGTGGACCTCATACCACAGCTCAGAAAATGGTCAGGCTTCAATCTACAGGGGAACACATGAATTGGACATTAGGGGCCAGTTCTCTTTACAGATGAGATGAAAGTTGGCCTCAAATCTTCAGATGGGCGTAATTTCATACGGAGACACTCAGGAAAAAGGTCCCATGCAGTATGGTTCCTCAGCTGGCATTCCATGGTGGGTCATTGTCGTTGGTGGGGCATATCTTTGGCCGCCCGCACCGAATCGGTTGATGGGCGAGCAAGATCTCCGACTTCACAGAGGCACTTACAAGGCATAATCTATAAACATGTAGTGCCATTTGCCCTCCACATCGGTATGAGATTCTTGCTGCTAATGCCAGGCCCCAGAGTACGTATTGTGTATGACTACCTGAATGAGGTTGGAATTGAGCTTGGTGTGGCCAGCTCCAAGTCCAGATTTGAACCCAATCGAACACATTTAGAACCAACTTAAGGAAACCCAGGACCTAACACCCTAGAAGAGTTGGAAACGTCTATTCTTGATGGATGGGAAAGAATTCCTCAGGATTTTATCAGACATATTTTTCAAGGAATGCAAAGGCGTTTAACGGACGTGATTCGTCCCAGCGGTAGAAATATTCAGTATTAAAGAGAACAAAGTTTTTTAGATTTTTTTTTTTAATTTTTTTTCTTTACTCAATTTTTTTTTTTTTTTTTTATTAGGTAATAAACAGTTTTCTTTACAAGTGTCCTATTTTTGCAACAAAACCCATTTTTGGTATGCAAAATATGAATAAACCTAAATACGCGCGTTAATTTTGTCTATCAGTGTACATCGAATCACTATCATGGCTCCGCTCAGTATCGCTATATTGCACAAAGGTTGAAATATGAAAACTGTCATTGGCTGTATGTATTTACATTAGCTTATAAATTAAAAACATTTTTTTTGACATTCTTGCATGTTTTGATGTAAGAGTTGCGCATTTAACGTGCAATATTTTCAGATCTGATTTCTGTATCTGCGTTATCTGCTAAAATGAAAGAAAAAAATGCCAGGTTTTGTTAAAAATTTATCGCCGTTTAAAAAAAATGATTTTTCTTTTTAAATAATCAACCAATGATTTCAAAGCGTTGTGATTGTATAAGATCAATAACTAGCCAAAACAGCATTTTCTTGAATTATTCAACGAAAATGAAATCAGCCGCAGAGTTGATTTCTCGGCGAGTTACTCAGAAAAGACAAATAAATAAAATTCTATCGTTTGACAGTTACATCTCGGTCTATCATCGCTGATTCAAAAACGATCTCGCTCGAAATCAGCGAGAATAGATATAACAAGATGTTAACTGTCAAACTATCAACCATATTTATGCTATCATCATGTTTATCACCCAGCAGACAGCAGAAATCTCACAAACAAAATTCGTTGCAATTCAATTTAACGATCAAAACAAGATGCAATCGTTTTTCCCCTGGTTTTGCGCGTTGGACAGGAAAAAAACGAATTTTATCGGAACTTTAATAATCATTTACCTTGATTCGTTAGTCGGTCGTTATGCTCCGTCAGGGATGAAATTCCACTTCACGATGATGCTGGTTGATGCAGATGAGTGTAAACTGTCAGTCGTCAACAGTCCGCTGGTGTACTACTGCGACGAGCGGCGACCATCGATCTGGTCGACTCGTCCTTCCGAATCGATGTTTTGCACGGGAACAAGAACCAATTTTAAACATTCTTCTTGTCCCTTTTTCCAAGTGGAAACTCTATTCCGTTTGAAAATACCCTACGTTGTCAAAGAAAGCATTTTTCAACTAGAGTGGCTGCTCATTTACAATTAATAAATGCTGCGATCCCCCCTCTCTATAAAATTGGAATTTCACCTAAACCACCCTGGCTGCTTCCAAAGCCTAATCTATGCTTAGACCTTATTAAATTTTCTAAGCAGAGTACTCCCCTCTACATGTACAATCAAGAATTTTACAAAAAAATCTTTTCGAATCCCGTACTATGTTTTACAGATGGCTCAAAAAATGATGTAGGGATAGGTGCTGCCTTTTTCACTTATAATAATAATAATGCACAATATATGTTTACCCTACCTATATGTAGCAACTACACTGCTGAGATTATAGCTATAGCAAAGCGCTTAGCCCCATCCAGGGAAACGATTGTCATCTGTACTGACTCTTTGTCGGCGCTATTGGCACTTAAAAACAACTTTTCTGTACATCCATTGATACAAGACATCCTATTTACCATTGAATCTCTGCAAAATCAGGGAAATAGAGTAGTATTCATATGGATTCCTGGACACTGTGGAATATCTGGCAATGAGAAGGTGGACCATTTGGCAAAGTAGGCTGTCCTTAATGGAGTTAAAATTACAACACCAAATTCCAATGTGACAGCTTGGCATAAAAGAAAGTCTTGGCAGTTATGGCAAACAGAATGGGAAACGACTTCTAATGTCAAACTTAAAAACGGAGATAAAAAACTGTGTAAAACCTTGGACCTCATCTCATAGAGGTTCCAGGCACGAAGTTGTCTTTGCTAGGCTCAGAATTGGTCATTGTAGGCTTACTCATTCTTATCTCATGGCAAAAAAAGATACTCCACTTTGTGATGTTTGCACAGATAGAATAACAGTTAAACACATTTTATCAAACTGCAAAAAATATGAAGGAGAAAGACATCGGCTGGAAATTCCAACGAACAACAAAGACTTGCTTGGTGATGACTCCGACCAAATAGACAAACTAGTAACTAGTAACTTTCCTAGTAACTAATTTTGGAAATATGACGATAAAATGATATAATAATTTAATACAAAAGAACATTCATTTTATGCAATAATCTGTATTTCACTCAATGTTGGGAGGTGTCTTGGAGTGCGGTTTGGGTGCCCGTCGGGTGGTGGTTGTGAAGGGTATTCGGGACGCATGATACTGCCGGGGCCCTGGTTTCTGCTATCGGGGGGTTCCTGAGCTGTGGCCCACTCACCACCCAGCTTGAAAGTTTTTAAGGCGGAAAATGACCCCCCCCCCCAAAAAAAAAAAAAAAAAAAACATTCTTCTTATTAAATATATTACAAAGACAATTACAATAATAATAATAAATCTTAATTCTGGTAAAAGCAGTACAAAATATGATCAGGAACATCGCCTATGTTCAAAATCAAAATCTATTCAGCAGGTCAATTTAAATAAATTTTACGACTCAAGGGCCATAATTATAAGTTTAAATAAATGATATTCAACAATTTCACACTAGTAAAATTTTAGTTATATATAAAACTCATGCTGAACCGGCATTGGGTCAACTTATTGGGTCCGTCTTGACTCGGGGGTTTGTCACACTACTCAGACACGTTTCGGCATTGGGCCATCATCAGTGAGGAATTGTCTGTCACTTTGTCCGAGTAGGGCTTAAAACTAGCCAGTTCAGCATGGGTTCGCCTAATCTCAGACCACGCCAAAATTGACTTAATACACTTATGGAAAAATATACACACCGCCCTTAAATATTAGTGAATTTAGGTCTATTCATTGCATACAAAATAGGTTTGGTTGTAAAAATAAGACATTTAAAAAGAAATTTTTTATTGTTTAATTCTAAAATAGCAAAACAACTATTGAGTAAAGAACAAAAACACACAACAAATTTGTCCCCTTTAATACCAAGTATTAAAAAAAGTATTTACAACCTATGGGCTATGACACGAATCACCTCTAATAAAAGGCTTTGCATTTCTTGGAAAATAATTCTGATAAAATCTTGAGGAATTCTTTCCCATTCATCAGGAACAGCTCCAACTCTTCTAGGGTGTTAGGAACTGGGTTTCGCCATCGTACTCGTCGCTTAAGAAATAAATAAAATCCATTCGATTGGGTTCAAATTTGAATAGTTAAATAGTATATATTTAAATAATTTCATCAGGAGATCGACCAATGTGAGTCGATTATTTAACTTAAGACCAAGATAGGTGTGGCATTCACTATTTAATATCTCATCCATTAATATTAATTATATCCAAAATACCAATAACACGATGTTTTCATTTGGGAATAGCCATGTTCTAACTGAGCATACCAGTGTGTTAAACTCGCGCTTCGGACTCGCATATTTTCTCCTAACCCTACCTGAACCCTACATAACCATTCATGACCTTAGTTGTTCCTCCCAGTGCCCTTGTGGTTACAGGCTTTTGTATGCTAAACATTTGTATGAAGGTAGATGTTTACCAATTCTTCGAGTAAATAAACAAAATTTCTATGTACATGCCAATGAAGAAAAAGTTTAAGGATAAAAGAAGTAACCCTAACACTACCCCTTCCTAACCTAATCTAACCTGACCTAACCTGCACATTCTTTAGTTAAGGTAAAAACAAGCCAGTCCTATTTACGAAGTTACAACAGCCAATATTGGTCCATTATGTAATCTCCAATGTTTTAGAGTTCTTAATTATACTTAAGGCTTTTTATCCGATCAAAAGCTTTGTTAAAGGATCCTGTTTATATTATTAAATAACAAAAAACAATTTCACTCTTCTCTTCATTTATCTCATTTTTGTTTCTTTATACATTTTTTGCATATTTTCTCTACCTCATGAAAAGCATTGGAATGTGGAAAATGGAAATATGTAACCTAACCCTACCTAATCATTCTTAACCTAAGCTAACCCGACCCAACCTATGCACACAAAGTAAAAAGGATTTGGCCTTTTTATGGCCTTACCAGTATTATTATGGACTATTGTGCAATCTTCATTTTCATTACATTCTCTTCATTTATCTCATTTTTATTTCTTTATACATTTTTTGCATATTTTCTCCACCTCATGAAAAACATTGGATCATGCAGATATGTAACTTAACCTAACCAAACCCAACCTTTGCTCACTCCCTAGTTAAGCTAAAAAAGATTTTTGTGACCTTACTGTGATTAATATTGGACTATTATGCTATCTGCATTTTTAATATAGAGCTCTTCATTAATTAAGGTTTTCCATCTGATTCAAATGCTAGGTTAAAGGTTCTTGTGTTTTAGTGTTTTATTATTAAATAACAAAAAAAAGGTTTCACTCTTCTCTTCTCTAATTTAATTCTTTATAAATTTATCAACTGCTTTTATAAAAAAAGCTAAGTAAAAAGTTTAAAAATAAAAATAGATAAACAGTGAAAGAAGAGAGAAAGCAGAAAAAAATTTAACCTCACTCTAACGCTAATATTACCTAACCATTACTAACCTAACACAACCTATGCACACTCCCTGTGGTTAAGGTAAAAAGGAGTCAGCCTCTTTACTTACCTTGCACACCATGACCATTATTGGACTATTGCACAATCTCCTTCATTGCCTAGAGCTCGTCATTAAGCTTAATGCTTTTGACCAGGATCCTAAAGCTTTGTTTTCTCCCCGAAGTAGGAATATAAACCTGCATCGCCTTTTGTACCAATGATGGAAAGTTCCGTTATTTTTTCTTCCTGGTAGTAATTATTAATAATAATAAATTAATGGTCTGCAGTCCTACTATTATTCTAGACCTGATACTTTCTAGGTTTAGTAGTTATGTGGATAGTAGTTTCTGTGATGGCCTTTTCATGAACTTTTTTGCATGCCTTTATCCTGATACAATCCCATGTAACTGAGGATCTACCTTTCTGGAATTCAAAGGGTTCAAAATTATGTTCCTGGTCACAAAAAAATAAATAAATAAATAAAAAATTTATAAAAAAACTACAAGCACTACAAGACAATAAATTTATTCAAATTATTATTTAAAAATTGTATTTATTTTTCAGGTGGGGAATTAGAAACGACATTGTTCAGATGCTGCAACTTTGGATTGGGTGCAGTCAACAAGAATTGTAGTTACACAAAGCCTATCCAGCACATATCACTGCAAAATCAAAAAATCTGCGCTTCAACTTTAGAGTTATGTTGCGCCAGAGAAAAAAGGTTCTAATAAAACATAAACAAGCTTCATATTTATATCATCATTAAATGTAATCACTTTTTGCTTCACTTTTCCAGAGAAAAAAATTGCGAAGATGGCAAAACAGCAGCGCAAAATGGTGAACATTGTTCATACTTAGATAATAATGACAAGCAAGTTAGTATCATTGCTCTTTAACTATTTCAAACAATTTAAATACTTACATTATCTGTTGAAAATTAGTTCTGTTGTGAAGCATGCACGTTAGGTTCTCTTATAGGAGCTACTGGCAATAACTGTAATTTGGGAAGAATCGACTTTGGCACACTTCTAGGAACAACTTACCTGTCTTGCTGCAGAAATGCCAGCACCCAGCAACAATATCAGAGTAGTAAAGTATCTTGATTTAATGTCTATATAACAACCAATCTGAATAATTTGTTATGTAAACGTACAAATTTTTAATAAGAAGCTCGTTGATTTGATGCATTTCATGATGCATATACAATGTTGAATTAAGCTTACAGGGCTGAATGAGCACTTGGATAGATAGATTGACTTGTTTTTAACTATATATATGATTTTATGTTAATCAACTAAACTCATGTAGATCCAGATAATATGTGTGAAGTACTTCCTGGTGAACTTTGCGCACATAACTGTCATTCTATTCCCGGTTCTTATAAATGTTCCTGCAGACCAGGGTATGTACTTCTGCCAGATGGGAAGTCTTGCGAAGAAAATATTGCTGATAAGTATGTTTTGTTTATTTAATTTTTATTTTATTTTATATTGGACTGAAAGCAAAGTATTTTCTTTGATTCAGGTGCCAGTCGAGTGCTAATCGCTGCTCTCAGAGGTGCTCTTCGTCAGGAAGTAACATTGTATGTTCATGCTACCCTGGCTATTATTTGTCACAAGATAAAGTCACATGCAAACGTATGTCTGTATAAAGTAATAAATGACATGATTTAATCAAACTTTTTATTTCAGGCATGCCAGACTCCAGTCAACGCTGTAAAACAGGCTTTGCTTATAATTTTACAACAAGAATTTGCTCTGGTAATTAAAAAAAAAAAAAAACTGTAAATTATTTTTGTCACCCTCCTATAGAACTTGTATTAAATACAATTATAATATACATTTAGAACTCCATCCACTATGCTGAAGCATGTGTTCCACAAGGCAGCATCCTTGGTACTATTCTCTATTCAGTATACAATGCAATTGGTACTGTACTCCTCATGTCCTTTCAACAAACCCAGAACAATCTCTCCTGTTTGGAAGAATGGTTCAAGAAATGGAGAATAGGACTCAATGAAACCAAATCCCGGCAAATAACTTTTCACCTTTCGCTGAATCACCACTCTTTTAATTTACAACTCTGTTCCTCTCCCAGTAACCAATGTCGTCCATTATTTGAGACTTTATATCAACAAAAGACTTGGAACCCCACATTTAAATGCCTCCTGGACAGACCATAAATTTATAGAAATGATGAATGGTGGAGTAAATGAGTTGTTCAATCTTTTTAAACCATAAATTTTTCTTGTATTTCCATGGATTCTGTATATATTTATCTCATTAATTTTATAAGGTAGATGACAGACCAAGTAAAGTGATCAGTTAAACAAGTATCATATTATTTTAAACTACTTTATTACATTTGTATTTCTTAGCCTTTGTTATTACATCTGTATTTAAAAAAAATTAAATTCTAATAGTAAATAAAATCATCATAATTCAACTGAATGTAAAACATTGAATCATGGATATATAACTTAACCCCAACACTGACCTAACCTAACCCTACTGAACTTAACCTAATCAAAACCCATGATGTCATTACATCTGTTATTAAAAATTAAATTTTAATAGTTGATCAATCACTGTTATTCAATTTAATGTAAAATAATGAATCATGGATATATGACCTAACCTGTCACTAACCCTAACTCTGACCTAACCTACCCTACTGAACCTAACCCTCCATCCAACAAACCAAATGAAAACCCATGTGCACTTGTCTAAAAAAATTGTGCATCCAGCCACAAACATCCTTCCAGCAATTTCCCCAATTCACACTTCCTATCCAACCTTATTTACACAGACCTCCAAAATTGCAAGAAATCGATAGACGTCTCTATAAAATCCTAGACCCTCTTCCCAACCTCTCCAGCCCTACACCTTTCATCCCCAACCCTTCTCCAATCCTCTTAAGATGCCTAAAGTGCCAATGGCCTCGCAGTTTCCTCCATAGTGAATGCTGCAAAAATAGTGCTGTGATAAAATTTTAATATCAAATTTATAAAGAGAAAAAGTTGCTTCTAGCACTCTAGTGCAATTGTAACATTATAATAAATATACAAAAACCTTTTAGATATAGACGAATGTGAAGAACAACACTTTTGTAACATTTTCACACAAGATTGTGTCAATACTGAAGGGAATTATAGATGCATTCCAAAACGTAATTGCAGAGTTGGATTTCGCTTCAATAAACAAAGGAATGCTTGCATAGGTACAATATTTTATAAGCATATATAATTAAATGTATATTTAATATTATGTAATGAACTTTCAACAGATATTGATGAATGCACAGAACAAAAGCCATGTGACAGCACGCAGATTTGTCATAACACAGAAGGAAGCTATGAGTGTTCTTGTCTCCCAGGCTACTCAAGAGACCATTTAACTCTTGGGTGTATTGGTAAAAAAATATTGTTTATTTGATTTTTTTGACTAGGCTTTCATTGCCTTTTCAAATTTTAATCTATACAAATTATTGCAGACATTAATGAATGCCAAACAAATGCAGCTAACTGTAGAATAGGCGAAAGGTGTGACAACACTCTAGGGTCATATATTTGTGTCAGAAATGCAAATTGTGGGACTGGTTATACATTGAATGCGGTCACTGGTAAATGTGAAGGTAGGTCTATTACAATGTATCAAGTAATAAAAAAGATCTTTTACTACTTTTCTGGAGCTTATTAATGGCCAGTTTTAAGATTACCGGATAAATAAGTAAAACAATTTTTTGTCAGATAATGATGAATGTGCATCAAACACTCACGACTGTGATCTCGCTGGTCCGGATAGGGTGTGCTTGAATACTCAAGGATCATTTCGGTGTGTTCGGAGAGCAGTGCAAGGTAATGGCTATTGTCCCAACAACAACTGTAATCCTAGACCATGTCCTCAGGGATATAAATTAGTCAATCGTCAGTGTGTAGGTATGTCAACGAATTTTATTTAATTATGTTTTAATTTGAATTACTTGATATGAAATTAGTAAAAATTTGTTGCTGTTGAACTGTTGTGAATAGTGTTACAATTTATCATTTACCATTGTCTGTGATATTAGAAGATGAATTGATATCTTCTCTTTTGACCCAACATGGTATTTTTATTCAAATTATTCTTATAAAGGTTATGATTTTAGCATAATGGATTGTCTATTTAAATATGTTTTTATTTATATTTTTTGTTTACATCCTTATCAGACATCAATGAATGTGCGGAACGAGTTCACTTGTGTCCTCGCAATGAAATATGCGTTAATGTACAGGGGAGTTATAGGTGTAATAAAGTAGTCAATTGTGAACCAGGGTTTAAACTAGCACCAGATCGAAGAAACTGCATTGGTATATTGACAAATTAGAAACATTGTATTTACATTATTAATTAATTATATTTCTTTAAATAGACATTAATGAATGTGTTGAGCATGCTGGTCTTTGTAGTCATTCGTGTATAAATCTATATGGAAATTTCACATGTGGTTGTAACCCAGGCTACAAATTAGATGTGGACAACAGGTACCTATATTATATAATTGATAATATAAATAAATCTAGAACTATATTTGTATATATATCTATATATTTCAGATCCTGTATTGATATAGACGAGTGTGAGAATTCCTTCCAAGTATGCAACGGATTATGTGTCAACGAACCTGGCAGTTATTCCTGCCAATGCCCTCGCGGTTACAGACTTTCTTATAATAAACATTCATGTGAAGGTAGATATTTAAAAGTACTTAAAGTGCATAAACCAAATTTCTGTGTGTATGCAAATGAAGAAAAGGTTTAAGGATAAAAGAAGTAACCCAAACCCTACCCCTACGTAACCATTCATAACCTGATCTAACCTATGCACACTCCCTGGTTAAGGTAAAAACGAACCAGTCCTATTTACGAATTGATCATGGCCAATATTGGTCAATTGTGCAATCTCCAATATGATCTGGAGCTCTTCGTTAAGGTTTTCTTTTTTCATCTGATCCAAAGCTTTTTTTAAGGGATCCTGTTTATATTATTAAATAACAAAAAAAGGTTTAACTCTTCACTTCATTTCTCAAATAAAATTTCTTTATAAAATTTTTGCATATTTTCTTCACTTCATGAAAAACATTGGATTGTGGAAATATGTAACCTAACCCTACCTAATCATTCTTAACCTAAACTAACCCGACCCGATCTATGCACACTAAGTAAAAAGGATTTGGTCTTTTTACGGCCTTACCAGGACTAATATTGCACAATCTTCATTCTCATTAAAATAAGGCTTTTTATCTGATTCAAAAGCTTTGTTGAGGGCTCTTGAGTTTTATTGTTATTATGAAAAAACAAAAAACGGTTTCACTCTTCTCTTCATTCCTCTAATCTAATACTTTATAAATTTATCAAATGCTTTTATAAATAAAGCCAAGTAGACAGTTTAAAAAGCAGAAAGAAATTTTTAACCTACCTCTAACCCTAATCTTACCTAACCATTCCTAATCTAACCCAACCTATGCACACTTCCTGTGGTTAAGGTAAAAAGGAGTCGGCCTCTTTACTTACCTTGCACACCATGACCATTATTGGACTACTGTACAACCTCCATAATTACCTACAGCTATTTTGACCAGATCCCAAAGCTTTGTTTTCTCTCAGGAGTAGGAATCTTAGCCTGCATCACCTTTTGTATCAACGAAGGTCATATTCCAATATTTTTTCTTCCTGGTAATATTTGTACAAGCTTCTTTCTGTGTATTTGAATCACTGCATATGCCTCTAGAGTCTGCAGTTGTACTATCATTCTACTACTGACACATACTAGGGTTAGTTCATTTTGCCTAATGTACTGGACTTTAGAAAACAACTGAAATGTATACCAATAGATGCGACACACAAATACTTCAGATCTTCCTAGGGTTAGTAGTTCTGCAGTTAACTTCTACAATGGTCCTTTGCTGAACTTTTTCCCAAACCTGGGAATACAATCCCATTGAACCAAGGACTTATTCTTAAAACATTGTCTGATAGATCTACGTTTTTGCCAATTCAAAGGGTTCAGGACTGACAGATGACTGACTGAGCTATCCTTGACCAATTTCTCGGCCTCCGCATTGCCTCTCTGCCTTGTATGGCCTGATACCTAAAATATGGTAATTTTGTCGTCGTCGTTAATGTCTCACAGGACCTTGATGCAATCCCAAAAAGCTTCGGACTTTACTTCTTATTGCCAACTGTATACCAAATATAGTCAGCAATAACTGGGATACCCTTCTCCCAGTCTATATTCTACATGGCATCAACAGTCAGCCTGAAGTACCTCCCTTAGCTTTAATTGATTCTTTTTATATGATTAGGCCATTGAAGCTTTTCCTTCAATGAATTCAATATTTATTTTCAGACATTGATGAGTGTAGAGAACCTGATGCTTGTTCGCACAGCAATGATACATGTCTCAACATGAGAGGGGGACACAGGTGTTTTCAAGTTACTTGTCCTCCGGGATATGAAAAAGATTTGAGCCATGAAAAGTAAGTTGTTAATTATTTTTTTATTATACATGTATAACACAAATTCTATTTTTAGCCGCTGCAGAAGACAAAACAACAAGTGTCATAACAATGATTTAGCTTGCACAGAACAGCCATTATCGTACACATCTCATTATATTACAATCACATCAAACATTACAGTTGAACCTTCAGGGCTGGATATATTTAACGTAAAAGCACCCAGTTACTCATTGACAACGATTGATTTTAAACTGGAACTCTCACAGGTAGGGGGAGAAATCTCCATGAAACAAAATTTACGAATAATGTATGTTTTAGGTTATTGCTTCGCCTCAGATCAGAAAAGCAACAATGGAAAATTTCGCCTTAAGAATGAGCGGACACAACAAAGCCACACTTACAATAATAAAATCAATTGAAGGGCCTCAAGACATAGAAATAAGATTGTACATGAATTTCTTTACCAACAGAATTTACGGCGGGACCACTGTTTCTATAGTTGAGATTTACGTTTCACAATTTCCATTTTAGGATGTTGGGTTTAATTCGTTTCAAATTCACTTTTATTATTTAACAATCGGTAACATTTCTATTTCTAGTCTGGAGTGTTTTAAGAAATTGAAGAACATTGTAAACAAACTCAAGGGGGGGAAAGGCAAATATTTGTATATATAAAAATAAATAAATAATATTTTCAATCCATCAAATATAATGAAGGGTAATTTTGTAATAAATTTTCTCACAAGAGAATAAAATACAATGGGACAAAACATTATGTGATATTACAAAAGTATTCATTTGTCTCAAATCTTTTCTTCCGAGGATGTGAGGTTAAGTGAATGATTGAAGTATGCAGGACTAGATAATGCGTAAATATAAATTAATACAAACTGTTACAGTTTTTTGAAGTTGTTAACGATGTTCTTACATGTAATTTATTAATTATACTGATCACTTGTAATTCTTTTACTAATGGTTATTAGGCTTTTCTCTCTGGTGTTTTTTGTTTTGTGTTTGTTAAGTCGTTTGCTAATTGACTTCAGTCTATTGTTGTGTGTTATTTTTATTTTTCTTGTTTTTAGTTTTTTTAGAGAGCTTGTACTAAATATAATTTGTATGTCATGTATTTTTGTTCTGATAATTTTGTGTGTCTTGGTTAGTACATTTGTTATCTGTTGCTGTTGGTTTTCTGTGCGGGTTAAATTTGAATCTGCAATAGTCAGATGAAAGGAGTTCTATTTGTAGAGTTAATGATCCATCGCAACCCTAACCCCACCTAATGTAACCTAACCTAATCCATCACTAACCATAACCCTACCTAACCTATGTTTTAACTGGCACATCACAAAGGCTCATTATATGATTTATGATACACGATAAACATTTATACGGCAGAGCAAGCATTTCACTTGAATAACTGAAGAAGTAAAAAATTAATATACATATTAATTTTTCAAAGATTAAGGTATTGAAATAAATATCGCTTTACATATTTTCTCTGGTTCATGGAAAAAAAAAAAAAAAAATTGAATCAAGGATATATGTAACCAACCTTAACCTTACCTAACTCAATGTTACCTAGCCTTCCCTAACTTAACCCTACCACTACTCACTCCAACCTATGCACACTCGCCACACAAAATCAATTCCATGAAAATAGTCATGCAAATAATTGTGCATCCAGCACAAAACATATTTTCATGTAAAAAAAATTACCATACCAATTGTGTAATAAGTACGTGTTTATTTTATTGGTGGATGAAACACATGTCAACCTGCAAATTACACCAACTAAAATTATGTACCATCTAGAAAATAGTTTCCTCTTTCATTATACAGACAAATAAAATTGATTTAATTAAGAAATATGTGTGATATGTGAATACTTAATCCAAAAGTGTAGTATCATCAGAGCGATTAGGTTTACTATGGCCATGACTTGTTCATAATTTTGTATGAAACTTGTTTAAAATGAGACAAAGTGAATACAGGCTAATCTATTTTTATTTATAATAATTTGTGGGATAAATATTAGTGCAATATTTAACAACATCAATATTTTATTTTTTATTAGATTTTCAAAAATAAAACTACAAGTTTAACTTCAAAATCACATTTATAATCAAAATTCAACATCCATAGAATTCTAATTAAATTTTAAAAAAATTGACCATCCAAAATCATTTCCTATAGCAACAAATCATTCAACAATCAGTTTAGCTGTTCAACAGTCTAGGTGGATGAAAGTAAGTTAATTATTTGTCAAATATAAACAATTCTAGGATGAATAAACTGCAACAGTTATAACATAATAATGTAGACATTACAATTTATATTGTACAATTTATAAGATTACAAACAAAGTAATGACAAAAAATAAATTAATACTATCAATTGATATACTTTCAATTGTTTAATATTGTAAAGGTAATAACAATTCTTATGTGGCAAAGGGAAACGTAAATTTAAATACTGTAAAATACCTTATTACATCCTTTAATGAGTAGTCCTGTAACAGTTAAAATTTGTCGATTGTAAGACAATAATGGGTTGGAATCCAGCAAATCTATTTTCGGAAACTGTAAAATAATTTGTGGTTCATTAAAAAGGCTAAATCGAAATTACCATTTTTGAAACCATAATACTTAAACAATAAATAAATAAAAATGCTTAAATGTATAACACTTTAATTGTCAGTTTTAAATATACATATTTAACACACAAAAAAATCAATTTACTGACCTCAACAAATATGCGCATATTGAAAAATTAATTCTAACTACATTAATACTGGAACTAACATAATATATTGACATGTAGCATAAAATCTCAGTGTTTGTAGGAAAATGCAAATAAAATTTCATATTGGTCTTGAAGACAAATCTAATTAAACTATAAAACCTAACCAATCTTCCTATACATGTTTTTTTAAACTATGAAATCTTTATAAAACTGAGTCAAATGATATCTGGTAAATAGAGAAAATGATGTAGGACATTCTGGCTAAGATCCTCTTTGATCTATGACCTTTTTCATTACATATCAATTGACTGCGATGACAAATCAAGAAAAATAAAATTATCCATAGGAGGGCTTTGAAGTCTCTTTCACATGTGGTTATTACTGAGTGAATGTATATACAAGCTGTTATATGTATATGTAGGTAGATTTGTGTCAGAATATAGGACTACAGACCCATTAAATTAGGATAATTGGTATCTTTTTACCTCGATGGCTCACCATATCTTGTAACTGTACATCTCGTTTGATTGTATTTATTAGTGTGGTGTTTCAGTACATATAGCTTTGTGGTATAATAGAGTACCCAGACCCACCAAGTAGGTTCATTAACATGGTAACATGTATATACAAAAATATTAAATACCTTGGTTAATTTTTTTTAACTGTCTAAAAGGTTATGATTTGTTATATTTATTAAATCGAATGAAGTAGGGACAGTAGAATATTAAGCTGAATACTACCCAACTTAGACTGTGTATACAATAATATGAAAGTGTTTTAATTATTTAGTTTATTTTTATTTATTTATTTTATTATTTTTTTTTTTTTGGAGCCGTATCACTTATTGGCCATTGCAAATAAGTCAAGCCTTCCTATGAGAGCACCTAATCTTTGCTCCTGCCAAACATGAGGTGCCAGCAATAGCCATGGTAGCCAGTCGGCTGGTTAAAAAATAAAAATAAATATATACAAAAAAAGACTCATAATCATCTACTATTTTGTAATTTTTTAAACATCCATTTCGATAGATTATCTGGTCAAATATCACTAATTATTATTACACTATTAAAAAATAACATTTAACTAAAACTATGTTTAATGTAAATAGGAAACAAAGCATTCACCTGAAAGTCCAGATGTCAAAATAGTAATAATAATTTATAAGTATATTGCATAATTTGTAAGTTAATAATAGCATTAATTTTTTTAAATATTGGTAACTAAAGTTGATTAACATAAGCATTGGGTGTGATAAACAAATTGTAATTTTATGAACAACAAACTAATTTATTTAAACCATCAATGATTATAATAGTCAGTTTCAAGACTGCGATAAGAAAGCAGCATGCAAAAAGAAAAAATTAGTTCACACTCAAGACAGGAGACTAGATTTATACTGAGGTACATATTGTGAAATAGGAGAAATTAAGAATACAGAAGCTTAATTAATATAATCATAAATATAAGTAGCATACTATGATTATTATTTTTATTATATTATTACACAAATAAGAGGTTTTGACACAATAGAAAATATGTTTATTGCTGTGATTTTGCAGAAAAAGGGGATAACATCTATATCTTCATGGCATAGCATAACAAATTGGTAAACATTAGCTAGAAAATACATCTAAATAACTTTTAAAAATTAAAAAAAAAACTATTACAGAATTTGCTTACGATCAAAAAAGGCACTAGATGTTCTCAAGCAAAAAATAAAATATCCAAAAGAACAATTTTTTTATTATAGAAAATACGTCTGAGCGCAAACAAGTATAACCAAACATGGTATATCATGCATTTATATTTTTAATTTTTATAACATTGGATTAAGAATCTAAGAGAAAAAAAATTGACAATTATTCTAATTAAAAAATATGGCTGGTATAAAAATGGATTAATTGTTTTATAACAAACACTATTAGGGAATATATGTTTATTATGGTGATTAGGAGACACACAGATGGATTTAAAGAAAAAAAAAAGCAAACAGGATGGGATGGCCATATGATTTAATCCAAATTCATTCTGAACACGATTTTAAAACTTGGTTATAAAATTATAATTGTTGATTTTTTTACTCTTAAATCTGATACATTTATTTTGCCAAACAAAATAAACAACGCTAACTAAAAGGAATGAAATTTTCAATTAAAAAAAATAATATTAATAAAACTGTACAACACTTGCACATAAAATCAAACATAATACTGAATAAATTAAAAGGAATGGTAATAGTTGGCTAGATTTATGGAATGTAAATTAAGAATTCTTTTCAATTAGTATGCATGTTCGTATTAGTGATAATGGATTTTATGATAACAGATTCCCACGCCTCAGCCGTCCCCTGTGAAAGAATAAATGAACATTGTAAATAATTACATTAAAATTATAATTTGTGATTCTTCTCGAAGGATTGAAACAAGTTTGACATTTTACTGAAACCTCTGTATAACAACTGTAGTAGGCTATAGGTTCATCCACATTGGGTAGGGTTAGGGACAAGTTAGGTTGGGGTAGGGTTAGGAATGGGTTATAGTACATATCCTTGATTCAAGATTTTTCCATGAAGTGGAGAAAATACGCGAGTTCAAAGCACGAGTTTTACTCAAAGGAGGAAGCAGATCATTTCTTTCCAAGTGGAATCTGGCAATAAAAGTACATTAAAAGTGATAACGTGCATCTTTAAGTTCAATTAGATGTTCAACTCTCTTCTCGCAATATTATCTTGTTCATCAATCACAACTACAAAGATGTCAATTTGTTATACTTCCCCAGCTAATCTTGCATTAAAACATCAAAGTCTATGGACTATAAAGATGAGTAAAAAGCAAATAAAAATGATGATGTTTTTAAGCTGTTTAAATGCTTATTGAATTTCTTCATCTATTATTTATAAAGATTCTGATAAGTCTATTTGAACTTACATTTAGATACATTTTATCAATTTGGGTGTGTGAGGTAGGTTGGGTTAAGTAAGGTTAGATAGGATTAGAGTAGGTTAAATTGAAATGACTATAATAGCTACTGGATGAACCAAAACCATCCTAAAACAAACAAAACTACATTTTCTAAATTAAATGATTAAATATAGAGCATTTTTCACATTATAAATAAATTATACCATTTTTTTCACTACTCCCACTCTAATTAAAAAGAAAATGTGTATATCATACATACACAAATTATTTTAATTAATTAATTTATTNTGATGTGGGTTTCTGAAAAACATTTTTCTGAAACCCACATCACACCTGACCGCATCTCACGATATCTGAATAACTATCGATTAACGGTCATTAATCTCTACACATTTTAAAAAATGTTTCCTCGCTTTGTTGGTCTATCAGAGCATTTCAACATCTACATTGAAGTTTGTGTGGTTTTCTGTTTAGCCAAGCGACTATACATTTGTCATTGAAATGTGAAAAAAGTCTGTGTTTGTCTTTTTCTGTCGGTGTTTACAGGCACACTGAAGATAGCGAAATGCCGAAACACATCTGATAGACCAACCCAGTGAGGCTAGGTAGGCCAAGAAGGTAAGGATGAAACTACTTATTTAAAGACTTCATAAAAAAGCAAAGTTAGAGAAAAAAAAGGGTTAATAATTAGGTGATAGTTAGGTCGCAATGATTAATACATCATTTTACTTAAATTTGACCGCATGTTCATTACACTACTACCACCAATAGCCAGTAATTGGATCTCACTTAAAACTTGGATGTGCAATTTAAAGGAAGCAATGCAATTAAAGAAAGAAAAAAATAGTGTGTGCATTCAAGTAAAAAAAAAATCTTACCACTTCATGGACTTGGTTGCATCAAGCACATACTTGACAATATTTTGAATGACTTCAGTTGAACTTGCGGTACCTCCAAGGTCTGTAGTAATTCATAATATAACTAATCAAATTATCAAAATAATACAACCATGTCAATGGCATGAGACCTACCAGCAGTAAGTATTTTGTCTACTTTTATTGTATCATTAATTGCCTGGGATAAAATCTCGGCATGGGTACTGTGTCCAAGATGTTGCAACATGTCGACAGCTGCATTGAGCATAGCAATAGGGTTTGCTATATTTTTACCAGCGATTGCTGTACCTGTGTTTCTGGTTCCAGGCTCAAAGATTGCATACTACAAAAGAAAATACAGTGAATGATTATTCATAATTTTTTTATCCATAATAAAACTATCAATATAATGAGTAATAATAGTTGTACATTAAACCTTAGCAGATAAAATGTGGAAATTGTTTATCAAAAGTAGTACATCTTTTTATGAATAGCATGCCAAAGTTATAAGCTAAATATTAGCTTACATTGTCACCATAATTTCTTCCTGAAAGCAGTCCAGCTCCTCCTATTAAACCGCAAATAACATTGGAAACGATGGTTCCATATAAATTTGTCATGTTCATGACGTCAAATTGGTAGGGGTTTGAAACAAGTTGCATGCAGCAGTTATCAATGATCATGTCGTTGTGTTCTATTTCAGGATATTCCTCAGCTATTCTTCTCGAAATTTCCAAGAATAAACCATCCGAAAGTTTCCTGAAATTGAAACCGATAGTGATGTTTTTCCCTCCTACTTCCAACAATATATGGAAATATATAAAAGTAATAAATAAACAGAATAATTTTATGCTGTATGTACATAAAATAAGAGGAAATATGCCTGCAATATATTTCTCGATAATTTTTTTCATCATACAAATCATATTTGCATAAGTCACATTCTGTATTTAATAAGTAAATAGCCAACAATTAGTTACAATTTTTAAATTTTATTATAGATACATTTTTGGGTTGGATACATAAATTCTTTTTGCAAGATTTCTTGATGGGTTGGGCTAGGATAGGTTAGGGTGGTTATGGACTGGGTTATGTTAGGTTAGCGATGAGCTAGGTAAAGTTAGGCTAGGTTGGGTAGGCTCAGGGATGAGCTATATAAGGTTAGGCTAGGTGGGCAGGGTTAGGGATGGGATAGGTTAGGTAGGGTTAGATGGATTACATTACATATCCATGATTCAAGGTTTTTCTATGAAGTGGAGAAAATATGTGAGTGCAAAGCATGAGTTTACTTGAAGGAGGAAACAGATCATCTATGTCCACATGGAATGCGACTTTAAAAGTACACAGAACGGGGTGATAAATTAGGTTGTGTTACGTTACATATTCATGATTCATTTTTCAACTTTTCTGAATGTTTATTGAATTTGTTTATCAATTATTTTTAAAGATTTTAAGCGTAAAGGAACTTGCAGTTGGATACATTCTAAACGAGTATGTGAGGGTAATCTAGGTAATGTAAGGCTAGGGACAGGTTAGGTTAGGTAGTATTAGGGACAATGAATACTTAAGTTTTTCAAACATAATTTTAATGCCCATTTTTGTTTTTTGTTAATATTATTTACAAAGAACAAAAAAGTTAGAAAAAGAATTTCTTATAATAAATACTTACATAATGTTGGCTTTATGGATTGTTGTAACCTTCTTACGGCCATTTTTTTTTGCAAATTCAAAAGCAAATCTTGCCACTCGTTCTGAATTATCTTCAGTGACAATCTTCATGCTTTCCACTACACCGTTGACACTCTAAAGTTGCATATGAACAATTACAATCATCATTCCACAGATAACATTATTTTTAATAATTTTTTCATCACATGATTGTTTTAAACGAAACTATTTAATTGCAGTTTTTAATCCCCACTCTTTTCAGTAATGATTTATAATTCAAAATACAATAATAATTGGTCTACAAAATGTGATTGTGACAGGTTCTCATGCAGCTGTTACATATAATAATAATAATATATGAAAGTAATAAGAGTAATTTAACAATAATTTGAAAACAAATTCTAATTCCAATGAGTAATAAATAAAGACTGGATTCCCGTGAAATTCCATTTTTTTAATGCACACTCCGATTGCAATGAAACCAAGACAGAAATTCAAATCATGGAAAGGATGTCCTTTTAACACTATTCTTATTGTGCATGAAATTGTACATTTAGGCATTATTGCACGTTTTTATGGTTTACTGCACAAAATTGCAGTTTTTCCTATTTTTTTATATTTTTTATATATATAAAAACAACATGAAAAAACATCATTTTTATGAGTTTACAGTATTTACAGACAAATTAAGGGTATCCTTTTTTATAATATGCTTCATTGAAGTTGTCAACTCCCATATTCCAAGAAATATTTTATGTTCGACATCACTGATCTGCACTGTTCCATCACTTGCGAATTTCTCACTTTTCATTTCTCAATCTTTCTTCAGCTTGGGAGCCAATCAGAACCATTTAAAAAATAAAGCTTGTTACATTTGAAGTACTGAATGTTCAAAGTGGTGGCTACAAGACTACCCAGAACCGAAGACCGATGGCCAAATTTTTTTAACCCTCCTCAGGCAAGGATCTAAACTGTAATTCTGCGTGGGTTATTGATGACCTATTCACTGTTTTCAATTTTATTTCGGCTACAAAACGTTTTGAAAACAAGTAAGAATTAATCTTTTTACTTTTTTAGTTTTTACTGCACGAAAATCCAGTCTTTACTAATAATTAATTCAAATGGTAAATTTGTCTATTTTTTAACCTTTAATCTCATACCTCATGTTCCAACATTGAGTATTCACCTTCTGTATTTTGCCTTACAATAATAATATCAACATTTGAATATCTAGCAGGTACGCCTTCGTACGATTTACAGTTCAAAACATTGACATATAAATCGAGCTCATTTCTCAAGGCAACATTCCTAGAAATGATGTCAGCATCCAGACTTCCAGTTTCAATGTTTCCTAAGAAAAATTCCAAAATTTCATAAAGGGTATTTATTTTAAATTGAGAAAATTAATAATTAATACCTTTGATCGCCACCCCATTCCGTTTTATTGATGTTATAGCATACTCAAGGTCATCGTTTCCTTCACTTGATGGATCAATTTTAATTACTTCAAAATCAACAGGTATACCTCCAACTCTGGAGGATTGAAACAAGTAGATACATATTTAATAAAATAATATAAATATCATAAATTTGTTTACGTAGAATACCTGAAAATTTCCTTAACATATTCCATCAATTCTGGACCAATACCTCCACCTGGAAGCATGGTGACTGTGTGCCTTCCACCATATTGAGCTTTTGGAATATCTTTCTTAAAAATTATATTAATGTTAATTATCGCATAACACATATACTTAACTGCAAATGCATACAGCATATGTCCAAATTTTTAATAAGGGAAATTTGTTATTTTATTGTTTCCAGTACATATGTGATATATGTTTAATTTTTCTTGTGAATACATTTCACAAAAATACCAGAATCAGGCTTACCAATAAATTATATTTAGCAAATTATCAAAGTTAGACAGGATTTGTTAAAATTTAAGGAAGAAAGGAACTTAGTGTTATAATTCTAAAGTATATTTGACAATGTTTATTAAGTATTAAATAAATTTTACTTACAAATTTTCTAGTCACTGGTGTTTTATGCTGTATATCAAAATATGACAAGGTAGCTGCCTAAAATAAAACAAGCATTTTTCAATTAATCCTAGGTTAACTTCCAATTCAATGGACGTATAGATCAATTTTACCCATTACATTCATCCATTTATGTTTAGTGGTTTAATTGACTGAATTATTTCAACTAATTATTCTTTTTATGTAAGGTCTTGGGTGAGATGAATTTACCCATTACCTTTTACTTGTTTCTTTCTTTGTTTTATCTATTTTTTTGTGGGATACCAGGAAGTGGAGGTGTTCCCGAGCACTGCGCCTCTATACATCTTAGAGTACTCCATCCTGGCTCTATTTTTGGGAGCTTGAAACACGTGTGCATCCGGTGTTCTTCCATTGAAAAAACACATTTGAAGGGAGTTGTGGCCAAATTCAGAGTTACCGGGACACAATCACCCCCAGACCTTCTTTTGATGAATGCCGTGTCAATTTTCATTGTAGCCACCGATCCCCTTAGGCATCAGAAAAAAATCCAGAGGCAACGATAGGAATCAAACCCACGACCATGGGATATGCTAGCTGAGAGTTTGACACCTTAGCCACTCAGCTACTGTGGTCCCCTACCCATTACTTAGTTAAAAGTTAGTACGGATATTTTAAACTAAATTAACTAAAAAAGGGGAGGAAACAGAAGGTTGATTTTTGTTTTAACGAGAATCTGCAACAGCAGAGGTCATATAAACCCTCAGGGTGCTGGTGTTTTTGAAAAAAAGCCCATTTGTGAGTATATCAGGTTTGAATACAGCGCCGCTGGATTCGAATCCGGGACCTTTACCTTACAGTGATGAGCGCTGTGTCAACACCTAAACCATTGCGCCCACCAACACCCCCCCCCAATGTTGAATCTTAATACTGTGAAAATTTGTTGCTAAAGGATAGTCATGCTATCACTACTTCTTGTCCTCTTTCTGTACGTGCCCTCGATAGCAAGATTTTTATCATCTATTAAAAACACATAGTTGGTCTATATATACAGATACTACATGTGAGGTGAAGATTTAGAAATGCATTTTCAATTACTTCACGATCTTTTGAAATTTACCCCTCTAAGCACTTATTAAGGAATTAATAAGATATGTTTTTACACTACTCAAGTGAGTGTGTACTTTCCTTGGCCTCACATTTGATCAAAAGCTTAGATGGCAGCCACACATTGACGCCCGAAAAACACGCTTGCAGAGGCTCGATATTATCTACTATTAGGGTCTTCGAGCGGTCAATGGTGTGTGAACAAGCTGGGAGTGCTGTTGCTTGAATTTTGGGTTCCTTGCCAAACCAGAACAACCTTAAGATGCAAGTACAAAATATACAAGTGACTTCAGACCCCGACGTGACCACTGGGTTATGCTTCAGCAAAACCTTAAGGAGTGCAAGGAAGACATTGAATGGTACTTGAGCTGGACAACCGGCCGACTCCATCCTGGGTCCTCCCAGCTATACCCAGGACTATCTTTCCATGATAGCCAGTCGTCTACTTATCAGTCTCTGTCAACTCTCTAGTTGGAGAATTATTACGAACTGGAGCTATCGGCAAAATGGTGTTGTCTGGGTATCCGACATGTCGGGCGATGAAAAAAGCAGATGAGGTGGCTAAGGCTGGGATGTCCTAACCTACAGACGGCTCTAAGAATCCGGTTTTCTGACGCTAAAAATGCAATAAAAACATGAATAAAAAAAGATGGCAGTGTTGGTGGCTGAGAACTTTCGTGCGTCAAGAACATTGTCGATGTGTGGCTGACTCGTAGAAGGGACATCCTCGCCTGATTAAGAACAGGCCATGCGAGGCTGACACACAGACACTTAATTCTGGGCCAAAGGCCCCATATGTGTCCGGCAAGTAGAGAAAGGTAAAAAAAAATGTTAGAAATTAGGTCCATATATTTTTTGTTCTTTATAAAATCTACTTCAATTGGGGGTTATTAATCAAGATGTTGTCAAATCAACCAGTCCGTCCTGTAAAGACATGTGGTTACAGATTATTTTTCCATTTTCTATTGCGACCCCACCAAATTGGTCTTGGCACCAGATTGGTCAGATGAGGAAAAAATCGTGTTTAACGTCCAAAAATAGTGATAACTGACCGTTCTTAGCTGCTGTTCGATACTTCGTGTTAACGGAAACGTGGAAGCGATCCTCCTTAAAACTGGAAAAGACATTTTTCTACTTAAGTCTTCCTTTGTACGTCCAAGGTGAAGGCGTAGAGACAAGATTCAAGATTACACAGAATCAGAAAAATTAACGAACATCCGAGATGAATGATGAGCCGTTCTTGAACGAACGAGTCAGGAAAAATGAACAGTTCATTGATCACGAGCCTTTTCCTGTTCATGCCTGTTCTAATCTTTAATTTTCTTCTCCTGTCTTGGTCTCATTATAGATCATTTATTTAAAACAGATTCAAAACTAATTCTTTAAATTCATATTCTTCAAATTAAACGTTTATACAGCAGGTTTATTTTGGAACTGCTCAAAAATAACTAGCGTTATTGCCAATTCTGTAGTATTTACTTTCCCTAGCAATTTTAATTTATTTTTATTATAAATTTCATGAAAATTTATTACAAATTATTGTTTTTTACCGAAAGAAATTTAATTAAAGGATTTTGAAAAATAACAAAATAAAATGTTTTAATTCCATAATTTTGTTTATTGGACACAATAATTTTTTTGAACAATTAATACCGTGTATAATGTCCTCTGTTAGCTAAAACCTCTGTGCACCTGTTAGGTATACTGTAAATAAGGTTGTCACTAATTTCATAAAGAATTTCACTCCATAGATGTTGCCATGCTGCACTCGTAGCGCTGCGGATGATGATTGAAAAGTCTTCTCTGCAACACCTCCCACATGTCCTCAATGGGATTGAGGCCTGGAGACAATGGAGGAAGAGGCAGACGGGAAATTCCCAAGTTTTCTCAACAATGATGAACAACTCTGCCTCTATAAGGTCTCTGGTATTGTCATCTTGAAATCTAAAATCCCTGCCAATGAGATCCCTGGTTTGAGGGATGTATTCCTCGATAATTTCTTGGACATAATGGACTGCCGTGAGGTTGCCTTCAACATAATGGAGTCCAGTTCGTCCTCCAGTGTAAATCCCAGCCCAGACCATTACACCACCTCCTCCAAATGTCACTGAAGGGAGCATGAACTGGGGCATTGTACACATCCCCAGTTCTTAGTAGACTCTTTGGTGCCTGCTATCATTGTACAGACAGAAACGTGACTCATCGTAAAATGATGGCATTCCATTGGTGTTCTCTTCTAGACGCCCACTGCACGATATTCATGTAGGATCTGGCGGGCACTATGGAAAGGGTTCCGTCTTGCAGCAATGACAATATTGCTGTCCTCCCTTAGCATCATAATGCGCTGAGATCCACTACGAGGCTTCCTATTGGCACTTCCAGTCTCTTGGAATTGGGCTAAAGCCCAGGAGACCATGCTCTGAGAAGTACTGCCTCTGTGATATCCATTTTCCGGTTACCTCTATGACTCATTCTCACAGTAATATTTTTAGTTTTTACAGGTCAAAAGCCCATTTCTTAAATTGAGCAATAAAAAACACAATTAAAAGAAGGTGGCAGTATGAATGGGCTAGATCGACAGAAAAGCTCTCGCGTATCAAGAGCACTGTCGATGGTTGTCTCTCGGAGGATCTGACTCATAGAAGAAGGGTCATCCTCACTCGATTAAGAATAGGCCATGCAAGATTTACACACAGAAACTTACTTTTGGGCCAATGCCTGTGTATGTGTCCGGCATGCAAAGAAAGGTTGCTCGGTGTATCCCACCTAATTGAAGGATGCAATTCCTTGGCACCATACTAAGAGCGCGCAGGAATGCCACATGATTTGAGAATTGTGCTTGAGCACAGCAGCAAGTATTTGGGTCCCCTGTTCAGATTCCTGAGGAAACGGGGTTGTTCTATTGTATATAGTAATAATAGTTGTGCATACCTAGTTTGTGTTGAGAGTGAATGTATTTATTAGTATGAATGTGTGATGTGAGAGGGTCATTGTTGGAATATCAAATATCTCATCAACCCTCAATTAGGTTAGTTGTATAGCATGTGTAAAGTTCTGCCATCTCTACAACTATTTATTCTAATTTTGGTTCCTCCAGCACTTTCACCCTTTATTTGCACAAATATGCCATATCCATGGAGGAAATAGAAGAAGTGATTTTTAACTTTAGATACTAGGAATTCAGCAAGTCCCGACAATATTCCTCCTATTCTGGTCACTCATCGTGTATCTTACCTCATTACTCCATTGTACATATCTTCAATAACTTTCTCAATGAGGGTATTTTTCCTGTTGAAACAGTGTATTCACTTCTTACAAATACTTTATAAATATTTTAATAATTAATTGTTGTTACATAAAGTATTATTTCTAATAACATTAATGAATTTATAGTGAAAATTACATGTGGGTTGTAAATAATTTTATACAGTTTTGGACCAGGGTGGAAAAAAAGAACGATCCGATTCAGTGAACGAGGACCTATCTAGCTCGGGGTCCGGCTCTTCGAATGAGAAGGTTAGTTTCCACTTTGCAACCTCCCGCTCCGTTATCTCTAAGCCAATCGCCGCCGTGAGTGATAACGAGTAAAATCAACAAACATGAATTTCTCCTGATCAACTATGAAGATACGCTTGTCAAAATTGATCAGGCTTTTATGCCTTTTGATTTTAATATGCATGTTCGCCCAGTTGATCTTTATTCTCACGCAGACAGAATTTTCACAGTCTTTCTTCAACACCGGCGTGAGGTACGACTTCGAGGACCTGGATTTCGTGGCGAAGAAACACACCCTTAAACTGTACATCCTAGGACCAGAGTCGCTGACAGGCGAAGATCGTGATAAGTTATATTTCAAAAATGGTGATATCGTTTATTTGGGAATCGACTTTGAATCTGTGACTACAACCCAGTTGCAAGCTGTAAGCAAAATGATCCATTGAATTATTCCTAATATCATAAATTCATATGCACATGAACACACATATACACATATGTTGTCAAGGTTCCACCCCCAGTATTTGAATGAATGAATACTTCCATGATTCCATGCATGTATTTAGTAGCCATAATTGACTATGAATTATTTTAATTAATTATACTTTTTATCTAAAGCCTTGGTTGAGTTGAAAAAGCTAGTGTCACGAGCGAGATTCAAACACACGACCTTCGGCTCAATACGCCGCTGTTCTAACCACTTGAGCTTTCACAACTTCAATCCACTCTGACACCAACCCCTCATCTCAACCTAAAACCTTTTCTAATTTTCCCTCTTTTTGGCATATTTTCAAATGTCACGTAATCAGGATTCGATTCTCAGCGACTTTTGAAGTGGCCACGGGGATCTGTTAGTGAAGTAATTACTTCTTTTTAATTATTATATTAATCCTTATATGTTTAGCAGTCATAAATTACCTATTCAATTATTTCAATTAATTATACTTTTTATCTAGTCTTGGTTGAGATGAAAAATCTAGTGTCACGAGTGGGATTTGAACCCACGACTTGGCTGAATACGCCACCGTTCTAACCACTTGAGCTGTTGTGTCTTCGATCTACTCTGACATCAACTCTTCATCTCAACCCAAAATCTTTTCAAATTTTCCCTCTTTTTGGCTTATTTTCAAATGTTGTGTAATCAGGATTCGATTCTCAGTGACTTATGACATTGCCACGGGGATCTGTTAGTGAAGTAATTACTTCTTTTTAATTATTATATTAATCCTTATAGGTTTAGCGGTAATAATTGACCTATTTAATTATTTTTTTATTTAAATTTTTGGTTGAGATAAAAAAGCTAGTGTCAAAAGCGGGATTGAAACCCATCACCTTGGGCTCAATACGCTACTGCTCTAACCACTTGAGCTTTCATAACTTCAATCGACTCTGACACCGCCTCCTCATCTCAACCTAAACCCTTTTCTAATTTTCCCCCTTTTGGCATATTTTCAAATGTTGTGTAATCAGGATTCGATTCTCAGCGACTTATGAAATTTAGCTAAGTTGGAAAATAACGATGTATTATTAGTGTATACAAAAATAAAGGGCTTCTAGACAGTCTCTAGATGCAGGAAGTTTGGTGTGTCCTTTGGGAGTAAGAATATACTGTGGATCAAAAAAGTATTTGCACATCCCTCTTTTTCCGCAAATTTCAATAGGCTTAAGATATTTTCCATAAATAATATTTATTTTAAAATTGCCTGCTTATTATTAGATTTTAGAAGCAATGAATGTTTGGAATTCAAAAAGTATCAGTAAATTTTGAGGGTCAAAAAAGTATTGGCACAGTTTAAATGTTTACTATTAGCTCTAGTCAAAACAGATACATACATTTTCTTTCAATAGATTAGAAATGAGGATTGACAATAATACAATGGTTACCATAAAACTCTGACTTTGTTCTATAGTTGCCATAGCAATGTGGGTAATACCAGCGAATATTGTGTTATTTTCAAAAAACAGATAATTAAATTTCATTCTAAAGGGCTTAGTTACCCACAAATAGCAAATAGATTAGAAATTAGTTTTAGTACTAAAAATATTGTAAGAAAATTTAGAGAGACGGGTTCGGTTTCAAACAAATCTCGTTCACGACGGCTATCAAAAGTTAGTGAAAGGGGACAAAAGAGCATACACCGCATTGTTGAGAAAGAGCTCACTTTATTAGCCGCCAGAATAGCAGAAGAGGTCGGTCCAAAACCACCTTCTACTTACAGACAATAAGAAATGTAATTCACTAATATAATTATTATGACAGGGTGCAAAGGAAAAAAAACCTTTTACATCAGAGGTGATCCACAAAAAAAGACTAGATTTTGCGAAAACTGATGTTAATAAGGACCTAAAATTCTGGAAAAGTGGTATTTTTTCAGATGAAAGTAAATTCAACATTTTCGGATCTGATAGTCACATGTACGCAAGTTTGGCGAAAACCTAACACTAAATAAAAAATAATTTCAAGTTCACCATGTGAAGTCCACTGTAAAACATGGATGTGGAAGTGTCTTAATTTGGGGATGCATCTTATGGAATGGTACAGGCAACTTAACCTTCATTGACAGTATTAAGAAATGTCGAGATTCATTTCGATATTTCGTGGCATTTTTAAAAATTAGTGCTGAAAAGCTGGGGATCAAGGACTCTTTTTATCTTTCAACAAGATGATGATCCCAAACACACAGCAAACAAAACAAAAGAATGGATTTTCTGTACATAAATGCAATAGATTACCTATGATATCTTTTGGGCCTAAAAGTAAGAAAAAATAAAATTTCTTCAAAAAATTTGTTGAAAGAAACTTTATCTGAGGAATGGCGTACAATTGGACAAGAAGTGATACAAAATCTTGTTTCATCAATGTCAAGGAGGGCTACAAGCTGTCATAGATGCCAATGGTATGATGACAAAATGTTAGTGGTATCTATTCATAAAAACCTTATAAGTTTTTTTTAAATTAATTAAATTTATTTATTAAAACTGGTCTTATTAGACCAATCATTAATTTTACAATAATATTATAGAATAAATAAATGTTTACATTCTTATAAACCCACTGGTACAATAAGATTTACATTTCACTATTCACTATTAATTTTTAACTACACAAGTTCATATGGCTTTGTTCTTTTTAATCTTCTGATCGTGTTTCGGTTATGTAAGAGTTTGGTCGCTTCCACATTCTCGTGCTGGCTGAGGCGAGCCTGGTGTTTGGCGGCAAATCTTTGTATTTCCGCCGTGGCTTCAGGGATCTTAAGATCCCTATGTATGTCCTTATTCCTTATGTACCATGTTACACAAGATTTTATTTTGGAGTGTTTGTATGATTTTGATATTGCTGGGTTTGGTACAACCCCATAGTTGGATACCATATGCCCACATAGGCTTTATGACTTGTTTATATGATAATATTTTATTTTGTATAGCAAGATTGGAGAAACGTCCTATCAACCAGTATAGTTGTCTATACCTTAAACCTATTAGCTTGGCATCTAAGGTCATTCCCAGATATTTAGCTGTATTGCTGTATGGTATAGTAGTTCCATCGATTGTGAGCGACGGAACATGGTCCACCTTTCTGTTTGTAAAGATTAGATGAACTAATTTATGCTGATTTAGCTTGATTTTCCATTTTTTTGTCCATTCGTTTATCTATTACATGCATTTTGGAGGATTTTGGTTGAATGGGTGATAGTCGGTCCTAGTGATATCACCGCTGTGTCATCTGCAAACGTTGCAATTTTTACTCCATCTATTTTTGGAAAATCACTGGTGTATAACAAGTAAAGCAGTGGGCCTAATATGCTACCTTGTGGCACTCCTGCATTTATTGATAAAAACCTTATAAGTGATAAACAAAAAGTGTCAATACCTTTGTATTGGTGAAAGTGAATTTTTTTATATATAATTGTTGCATTATGTACATTTTCAATCTTTCTGTTCAAATTATGTATTATTCTAAATATTTTATGACAAAATCTTTGATTATTTAAAACTGAAATCTAAATGTGCCAATACTTTTTTGATCCATAGAACTTACACATTATAAGAGACTTGACTTTACAGAAATCACACAGACACACTGAAGATGGCGAAATGTCGAAATGCATCTGACAAACTGAGACCAAAAATGATCGTAATGACGGTTCGTCACCGTGCAGACAATAAGAAAAAATCTAACAAATGCCATGGACTCTAATTTTTGTGAGATTCCAATAATAATTCATTTTATTATAATTAGAAAATAATGGTTTAGACATTTGTAAGCCATAAAGCAAAGAGTTTTTTGCTATTTATTGATTGGTATTAGTCATTATATATCTGGAAATTTTTCATTCTTTCAGGAAGTCAATTTTAGAAGTGATAAAATGTACAAGAAATTGTAAAAATGTTTAACGTTTCCAATGACTGGCTGCAAATAATAGTTTGTATGGGTTAATTCTTACACTCTTCTTTTGTAGTTTGGGAGATCCCTGAGCAAATTGGGCTTTGCTTTAATGGAATTCTTCAACAAGGACTATTTTGAATTGCATAAAAACGTTTATATAACAGTTAGTATGGTATTGAAGAGGAACGTGTTGATTTGTATTTACATCTTATACACCAAAGAGGTTTGTTCCATCAAATAACCCGTTGAAAAGTGTGCTAACAATTTGGCAAATATTTTCAGTGTGTAATGGATGTTGTGTAACATGAAATAATTTTAATTATATGGACATTTTCGATTGTAATTTCTCAGGACAATTCCTGGTGGTTTGGTGCTTTGAGTAAAGATGAACAATGGCATTACAAATTTGCCGTTTTGGATGTAAATCCTTCACTCTATTCGAGTATACTATCTAAAGAGAAGCTTATTAAAAAGTTAGTATTTATTAATACTCAAAATTTATTTTATCCATATTAACTTAATGAGTTATAGATTTGCAGCAGTTGAAATTGAAAAGCCGTTCAACAGTTTCTTAAGGCCAAAACATTACAGCCGATATCTGGAGGATTTTAAACATTCACAGTTTGTCCCATGTAACAGTAGCAGAGCATTGCTGTTCCAAAGGAAATTTGAACATGCTGCAGAATTAACCACATCAGCCATAAGATTTAAACACAGAGCTTGGAAATTACTCACTGTAGTGCGTACAGTTTTTGACAATTTGTCTATCCCGTTTTGGTTAAGCAGTGGGACTTGTTTAGGTAATTATCAACAATTTGGTATAAAGTTTTCATATATAACTCTTAACCCTCTAGTTCCTACCAGAGAGAACTTGTACTAAACTGGATATAGCTGAAAATTATGCTCATCAGTATATTCATATATAAACTTTATTTAAGTTATTAACAAAGTTTCTATATGAACATATTGGTGGGTGTAATTTTCATATAAAAACATTGTTTAAGTCTAAATGACCGACCCATAGTGGTTAGAAAAAAAATTGTTTAAAACTTGAATAATATATACACTAAATTACACATTTCTGAGAATTTATGATAAATATTGAATATATTAGGGGTATTAGTAAGTTTTTTTTTTGTGAAAATTTCGGCTTTATTGTTCAAAAATGGTAATAAGGTTATTATTCAGTATTTTTCATTTCTAACCACTACTTTTCCCCATCTGGCAGCATACAAATTCTGAGTTGTAAGAATGGCTGGTCTTTAGAGGCAATGAAAGAATTGACCCATTTTTTTTTCATTCCTCAAAAGAACAGAAATACTGCTCAGACAGGCCATGAGACATTGATAGAAACAGGTGGTAGTCGGAAGGAGCAATGTCTGGAGAATATGGCAGGTGGGGTAGGATATCCCATTGGAGTGTCTCCAAGTAGTTTTTAAATCACTTTTTCATGACTCTGCTCGCATTTTGGCCGTTTCTCCTTCAAAGCTCAACCTAAATACATCAATTGTACTCAGTAGCCTGTGATGTTTTCAGTTTTAGGAGATCATAGTACACCTAGCTGATCTCATAAAATGCAGAGATGAGCTTTGATCCATAAAAAAAATAAATAAATAAAATAAATAATCGATGTTATCAATCAAAAAGTAAAATTTATCTAATATTTAATATATATATATATAAAATGTGTACATTATATTTTATTAAATGTTTACTTACTAAGTAGTAAGGGATGTCCGGAAGGTACGTAAAATTCGAAAGTCTGCATGCAACGTCAGGACTAGTTTTGAGACATTTAGTCTCCCTCTCTTCCACTTCAACCTAAAAGATTTATGTGGAATTGGCCCTTCTTTATTGCTATATTCTGAAGAAAAAAATGGGCTACTGAAAATTAATTTTGATAAAACTAGCGTTTAAATATTTTTCAGGTTATTACCGTCAGTGTAGCATAATACCGTACACGAAAGATGTTGACATTGGTGTTTTTGCAAGTAATTACTCCGATCGAATAATTTCCGCTTTAGAAAAGCAGGATATCAAATTGATGCTGTGGCTTGGCGAATTGGAAGATTCTCTTGAACTATCTTTTCGCGACAAGTATGGCATTAAATTGGACATATTTTTCTTTTACGACAATGGAAGGAACATGTGGAATGGTGGCACACAAGTGAGAACCGGAAAAAAATTCAAGTACGTTCTGTACATTGGCTTGGCTTTATATATAAGGATTATTGAACGGTTTTTTAAATTTTTTATTGCAGATACTTGTTTCCCAGATTTGAACTCTGCTGGACATTGTTTTTAACCATAAAGGTAAGAGTTCCTTGTGACACAGAATCTTATATTAGAGCGAATTACGGCCCAAATTGGTTTTTCCCACAAGTCACGTGGGACTGGAAATCGAGCCCTTATAACGTTAAAGAAAATGGATATTGGCCAAAAGAAAAGCTTCCTTTTGTTATTAAAACCTACAATTAATTTTTCACAGTGAAAATTTTTTGTTGTACTTTTGTATATTGTTTTTGTTTTGTGTTTTTGTATATTGTTGTGTTTTTGTAAAATTTGACGAATCTGAAGCAACTTTGGGTAAGTGTGGTATGTGAGATAGTCTCTCCTAGTCAATGTTTATGTGACATTTTGTGCCATGTTGACAGAAAAACAGGGTTTTTTTTCACAAGGCTGCTTTGAAGTCAATTCCCTAAAAACCAAAATTATCCTTAACAAAAATCTTGTCTTTTGAATGTCTATTGTTTGTTATTAATTTCTACCATTAAAACACAATTGATAAAATCAACTCATTAACGGCACAAATGTTGTAAATCCAATAAATAATAATTTACAAATCAAACAGGGTCTAAAAGTTCTTATATAACAAACAAAAATGGTAAAATCTAAAACATTTTGTCTACTTTTAATGTCTAGTTTTTAAATGTTCATTCTTATTGTCTATAATGAAAGTAACTTGGATGAAGGCATATTTTAATTCAAAACTTGATTCCATTTTAACAAATAATTTTTTTTAAGGTAAGATTGATTGCTCATTATCGTTTGAATAAAATTGCTTTATACTTAGGGATATCTTAAATTATTTTCTGTGTCTGTCTTTCATTTGTTAAAAAAAAGGTTGAATTATTATGTGATTATACAGGGTGGTTTGCAATGGGAAAAAAGAAAAAAAAAAGATTGGATTGATAGTAAGCTGTAAATGGAGTAGCATTCACATTATACATAATAACTTTTTCCAGTCAAATTAAACCTTTTTAACTTCTAATTAACCGTTTTTTAAATTTCACGTTAGCCATTTCTTCAAAGAGGTTAAAAAAAAATCGGAGAAGTTATGAAAATAATAGAAGGAAATAAAGTAAAATTTCTTTATATTTGAGTAGTTTTTTTAAATATAAAATGTTTGGGTGCTTACATAGAAGACAATTTGTAAAATTAATTGCAATTACAATTACAAGTTATATAAAATTAAATATAAAAACAAATGATTCTGTTAGTAGTTTGGGATTTAAAAAAAATAATTGATTTATAAAATAATCGTTTTATATTTTGAAAAAATCTCAAATAAGTAGAAAAATCTTTTTTTTTTGTTAGAAACCTTTCAGAAAAACACTAATTTGAAGCTTAAAAAATCTAATTTGAAATTAAAAAGGGTTTATTTGAAGTAAAAAAATGTTAATTTGAAGTTTAAAAAAAGTAATTTGAAGTTAAAAAAGCTTAATTTAGAGTTAAAAAAAGAAAAAAGAGTCATTTGGCATTAAAAAGAGTTAATTTGAAATTAAAAAGGGTTAATTGGAAGATAAAAAGGATTAATGTGAAGTAAAAAAAGATTCATTTGGTGTTAAAAAGGATTACTTTGAAATTAAAAAGGGTTCCTTTGCAGAAACTATAAAAGATTAATTTGAAGTAAAAAAATGGTTAATTTGAAGTAAAAAAGAGTTAATTTGCCTGAAAAAGTTATGTATACCTTTGTTGTAGTAGGGCTGACTTTTAGACTAAATTTTCCATTGGTCTTCCAACATTTAAATTGTACATGCGAAATGGCTATCAGTTGGGCTGGAAGGTTCCAGTAGACAACTTGTTCTTTAGTTGATTCAACGTAGATATTAAAAACAACCTCAATTCCAAAAATAAATTGGTAATGGAGAAAATCTGCTTTTTGTGTGGCAAGTATGTTTTTCCTGGAAAACCAAGTAAATTTGGTTGCTGGTGGTTGAAACGATTGTTGAAATTCCCAACTTTGAAAGCCAGGACACAAGTGCAGTTTCACTTTCAATTTATCTTGTAGTACAAGGGGGACCGCAGTGGCCAAGTGGTGTGCACTTCCATCTTGTATTTGCCGTGCTAGTGGTTCTAGGTTCAGATTCCAGCATAGCTCATGGCGTTTTAATTGAGAATATGTAATACGTATTGTAAATAAATATTGGATGACCCCCTCATCCACTACACCAAATGGCTATTTACATTAAGCCCTCCTAGTACAAGAATTACTTTTTATTTTGTCGAATGAACAGGTACTGAGATTTACTTATAACCAAATTTTTAGAGGAGGATTTCAATTATAGATGTTTGAACTAAATGAGAGGTGTGTGTTACGCCCACATATTTATATTTCACCATCTCAAATCACTCTCCTTTAACCCACCAAAGATTAAGAGATCTTTATTAAATCCATTATGTTTAGTGGTCTGATTGACCAAATTCCTTTTTTCAATTAATTATTCTTTTTATGTAAGGTCTTGGTTGAAATGAAAAAGTTAGTGTCACGAGCGGGATTCGAACCCACAACCTTCGGCTTATATTCAGCTTATTATGGTCTTTGATTTCTTGTCAGTCAAATTCTTGACAGAGTGAGTTTGAAAACCTGTTGTTGTGGTATTTACTCCATTTCCTGTCTTTCACCCAAATTCTTTTTTTTACATTGCTTAGTGAACTCTGTATATTAAAACAAATATTTATTTCAATGTAAATAATGCCATATTAATTTATTAATTGTTGTTTATATTCAAATGTTATTGAAATTTGTAGTTATATATGTGATAAATTTTTTATATTTGTAAACCCTTTCTTTGAATGTATTTTTCATTTGTCCCCATTTCTTTAAAGAAGAAGATGGAATTTAAAATGAAGATGTATTTTTGTAAATTACAATACAATAATCGACTCAAGAAATCCATGATCTGTTATATTGTACATAATATATAGTTAAGGACTTTATCTAAGATAATAAAATTGATTTTAACTGGATAACACTATTTTAACATCTATAATTTTAACATGGATATATTTTTGGGAATGTTGTGTCCTAGAACATTTTCTTTTGTAGAGTTACAGTTAGGAATGGGTTATGGCTAGGGACAGGTTAGGTAAGGTTAGATAGGGTTATGGCTAGGGACAGGTCAAGTTAGGTAGGGTTAGAGACAGATTAGATTAGGTTCGGTAGGGCTAGGTTAGAGTTTTATGTATGTGTATATATATAATACCTAACCTAATTTAACCTGTCCCTATATAACCATACTATTTCTAACCTAACCTTCCAACCTAGCAGATTTCTTGGTAATGCAAAAAATCTCTCTACACATCCCAAAAACAGATTTATGTTAAAAGTATAGTTGTTGAACAGCGTGATCTAGATAAAAAAAAATCTCTGGGGTAAAGCCTGTTTTTACTATTTTTTAAGTGGTTGTTTTAAATAACAAAACCTTTAAATCGATATTTTGTGTATTAAAATTTTACTATGTAAAATAGGACAATTATTCATTGCTGTTAATTTTATATAGTGTTTTAATTGTGATAACATTTACCATTAAATGTCTATTTTTAACTACCCTTTTTTTACCATTTTTTGAGTATCTTGGAGACTGCTACCAATAAAATATACTAATAATTTAAGATTCGGTATCTGAAATTTCTGAGGTTTCGCTAAAGATGGAAGGAAGCTGACTTGGCTGGCAGAAACAGATGAAAATTAACATTCAATTCATCAGGGAAACTCCTGTATTTCAAGAGTATTAGAAGGTAACCTTGTACGGATCTCGAGTCATAGAAGATGGACCATATTCACCCGACTCAGAGTAGGCCTGACGCACAGATTTTTACTTTCATACCAAAGCGTCTGGAAGAAAAGTAAAAGGGCATTAAGTGCTTCAACTTAATAGTTACATAGTTTCGTTTATTTTTATAGGAATATGCAGTGTTTATGGAGTGAATTTTCCAATTTTTTGGCTTCAAAGGCAAACCACCTTGGTCTAGGAAGTTACAAGAGGATGCCCACAGGGCCTGCATTAGACCCAGCGTTTTGGTCACATATGGAGTTGTCGTTGTAAGACATCCTCCTTCAAAGTAAATTTCTTCATGACAAATTGGAGAGATATTGAATAACTTACAAAGCATATAAGTAGAAGCTGCTAGAATGGCTGATAAATGTCCAAAAAGCTCAAGATTTGTAAAAAAAAAATAGGTAGATAAGGTATGGCAAAGCAGGTGGGACATATTAGAACGACAAATTCAACTAAATTATAATTTTATTAATTATAAAACAGTGTTTGAAAAAAAAATATGTCACAGGATAATATATGACATAAAGAATTTTGTGTGTGCGTTTAATCCTACTAAATTTGCTATTATTACATTTTTAAAAATTTTTTTCTAAAACTGTCATGTGCATGAAAACAGTTGGCTAAATATTCTAAAATACATTAAATGAGATTTCATTCTTAAAAATAAATAATACAGATAATGCACATTTTTGTGATAATGTCTAAATCACCAGTATATTTAACGCATAGATTCTAATGCGTGGGTTTAGCCTGATAACAACTATTGCTACATATCTTTATGAGTATTCTAGGACTAGAATATCTTTATATTCTACAATGATACAGTGATTTATATTTGTTTATAATTTTTTACCCACTCGTTATATCGACTGACCTGAGAACAAATGTTAAAAACGCAAAACTCTAAATCAAAATATTGCTTGTAGACATAAAATATTTTTATATACGTTTTGTTGGTCTGTCAACATTTTCTAAAAGATCAAAAATTAATTGATATTAGTGTTTTTTTTAAATACTGAAGTAATAAAAAATAAGTAGTTCATATCCTCCAAATAATTTGAAATTTAGAATATACTACAAATTAAATATCTATAATTCATTAATAAATGCAATTTCTGTCAATTTTAAAAATGAAATTAAGTATTGCACAACGAAGTACACAATTGTTTACCCTTTTGACAAGTTTGAAGATTACCTTTAACATTTATATAACAATAACATGAATTATATAAAATATGTCGTTTGTAAAATAAAATTGTAACCACAAAAATTAACAAATTTTAATTCTCATAAAAAAAGTTTCAATTATATTGCACAATTTTCTTACAAAAGTCATTTATAAAATCAATCAATAAATGTATAAAAATATTATTTTTTATGATATTAATTTGTTTATCTGAATAAGGCACCATATGTAGCGCATTAATTTTTAGAAATATTTTGTTTTATCCATGACTCTCGTATTTTGGATTTATTGTCTTTTAACAAGTGGTAACAGTGATAATCTAGTGATTCGTCTAAGTGTTAAATTTTGCCAATTTGATTGTGACAATTTTCAAAAAGATCCACATTCCCTTAAAACCCTGTTTCCCAATGGTAAAGGCGGACGGTAATTCTTGCGTAGAAGGGTTTGTTCGGTTTCTTCTTCCACTTCTTCATTGACTGTTTTTAAGTTCCTGAAGGCATTCAACTAAAAAAAAGAAAAAAGTTTAAGTATATATTCTTGTTCCTTTGTTATATATTTGTCTACCTGATCTTCTGTGACTGTCACGGCATCTTTAAACACGATCCAGATTACACTTTCACTGCAAGGCGGTGTCGTAAGTGAACCGAGGTAAGTCCAGTATGTGTTCGTCTCTAAAAAATGTAATATTTGTTTTATAAGTTCATATTAATTCATCCCGATGAAAAGTGTAACACACCTGGTAGTAGACTGTTTATATCCAATTCAAAATTTGTCTCAGCAGTTTGACCTTTTAACAAAATATCTGGCATCATTGAGACAATTTTATTGAGACCTTCAAGCTCTTCGTCACCAACCTACATGTAAAATTGCGACAGTGATAAAAAATGTTGTTTAGAAAATCCTAAAATTTGGTTTACTTAATACAAAACTTGCTTACCTGAAAGAAAACTCCTAGAACAGCCAAGCCATCGGGATACGAAACCGCCTCGAGAAAGCTGTCATATTTTTCAGCATTCCAATGGACAAGGTGAAGCTATAAACAAAAAATGAATTTAAAAAAAATTGTCTTCAAATTATTTACTTAGTTTTAGATAAAAAATGTCAATGTCTTGTGCATCCATGAGTGTTTTATCTTAAAGCTCGTGTTCAAAAATTAGTGATTAAAGAAAGGAACTGAAACCAAATAAGCACTATTTTATTTATTTATTTTAATTTAAAGCACAAATAGGGCTTTGAGCCACCTTACGTGTACATATTTTAGAAATAAATGTAGTTTTATAAACATAGTAAAATAATAACAATAATAATAAAATATGCAAAACAATAATAACAATAATATATTCTATAAAATATTAATTATTTATAATTGAATGATGAAACCACATTACAAAAGAAAAGAAAGGTAAGAGGAAACAGGAAAAAGAAAAGGATAATGTCATTTTTAAAAACACAGACACCAAGGGCCTGAAATAAGCAGGTTAGAAAAACGTACTTCCCATGGAAGTAAATTCCATTCTTGACCCTGCAATTTTGAAGAACCAGGCTAAAGTTTTAGAATTGTTTTGGAGGCTTGGTATATGATTGGTGCGTTTGGATAAGGAATGAGGGAAAAAGTTGGTAGACATTGGTCATTTATTTGATTTAATGAGTATATTAAAACTCTAACAAGGGGACACTACACCTCAAAAAAGCGCACACGTACCAGCCATTTCTTGTGAATAGGACCTGCTTTTGTAAGAAAAATTTTGTGTTGAACTTTTTTGTTTTTTAATATTTATTATGGCATTTTTTAAATGTAAATTGCAATAAAATTATAGTAAAAGCTTCGAGGATTATCAATAACCACAAAATTTCTAAAAACCAAATATTTTTCGAGTAAACTAAGCCATACATTTTTTTCCGTGAAAATAAGATGAAATTTCATTTTAGCACCTCTAGCAAACCCTAAATATAAACAATTAATTAAGGTTTTCAGTTGAGATAAAAAAGTCAATGGCACGAGCGGGATTCGAACCCACGATCTTCGAAAAATTTTATGAGTTAAAAAATCAATAAATTTAAATTCAAACAAAAATTTATATTTAGGTTCACTAGTTTCGTGGTCCGCTTGACCAATTAATATCTTACAATTAATTAAGGTTTTTAGTTGAGATAAAAAAGTAAATGGCACGAGCGGGATTCGAACCCACGATCTTCGGCTTGATACGCCGCTGCTCTACCACTTGAGCTCTGAGCTACCTCTTTTTATCTCTATATTTAAAAAGGTGTGGTTGAGATGGGAGGTGGTGTCCGAGTGGATCGAGGTCACGATAGCTCAAGTGGTAAAGCAGCGGCGTATCAAGCCGAAGATCGTGGGTTCGAATCCCGCTCGTGCCATTTACTTTTTTATCTCAACTAAAAACCTTAATTAATTGTAAGATATTAATTGGTCAAGCGGACCACGAAACTAGTGAACCTAAATATAAATTTTTGTTTGAATTTAAATTTATTGATTTTTTAACTCATAAAATTTTTCGATTTTTCAGAAGTCGTTATCGGAATATCAACAGACTGTTTGAAAGAAGAAGAACGTAACTTTTTAATGACGTAGTGCCATAAAAATATATGAAGGATTTATATAGGAAAAAACCCAAAATGTCAAAATTAATTACCAAAAATTAACCTCGTTCGAGTACCTTATCATACCACCACCGTTGGATGATGTAAGTATAACTTTGCAATTTGTCCATTCTTTATTCACCATTATACCATGTTTATCCATTTAATATTGTTCAGTAAATTTTTCATGTTTTATTGGAAACAAAATACCAGATTAAATTACCTCAGCAGCATAGCTCTTTCCGTCGACAGTGTGTTCAGAACCTTCATCGCTGCTCGGCCCCCAATGACAATGGAACTGTTCCAGTTTGTATGCAGCAGGCAAAGGGCCTCCAACCAACTCTGAAAGAGGATAAGAATGGTACAAAAAAAAAAAAAATAAATAAAATCAATGGAGTGATTTCCATTGTTTACTTATGGACAAATTTTCACATACCTGTATTGTCTCCATTGCAATCGACTCTCCATCCATAGCCCGTGTTAACAATTTGATAGCAATGGTCACTGCCGTATGTCCAGGAAAGTGGTCTGTCGACAAGACTTGTGTCACTCGTTGCTAATGCTGTGTCGATATCAACTGGTGACTGTCTTGTACCGGCAGCTAACGGATACTTTTCAGCCCATGTTGAAGGACCTAAAAACCAAAAAAAAAAACATCATTTCAGTTAGAGACATACCAAATGCAAAGGGACTTTCTAAGACACCGTTGATCAAGGAATAATCATAACCCAAAATTTATAAAGTAAAAAGTCAGGAATCTTGTCAAATATGGCCAAAACCAAACGAGGATTTTCTGATAAAATAAAAATAGTACATATCTAAAAATGTTCCATACGTTTGTCGTTAAGTAATTTGAATCTGAACAAAGGCTTTTTGTGCCTGTTTAAATTATAAAAAGTAAAGGAATCTATTAAAGTTAATTAGTTACAGTAAGTTTCTTAGAAATGATAAATCTGAAGCCGATTGAAGACCCTGCAATTGACTATTAGGACATAGAACTTCAAAGGTTCGTATTGTCAGAGAATGACAAAGGCCCAAGGACATCAATTACAAATGATTTTCTTTTAAATAATTCTATCGCGAGTTGAGCCCAAAATGGACGGCAATTTCCTTGAAAGACAAGCCCAATTGGCGCAGGATACCAAAATCAATAGCAAGAATTGGTCAAATATAGCTTTACAGATTTTTACGTAAAGAAATCGTCCGGAAAAGAAGAGACAAAATATTATCCAGAGTATTTACATGCTTTAACACCATTAATTTTTAAAAGGGAAAATCGAAAAAGAAGAACAATAAGAACCCGAGTCTTGTCAGCCTTTAAAAAATCAATATTCACTGACCTTTATTTGAATTAATAAATAAGAAATGAAACTGAAATAATTGATCGTTTATATCTTAAATATTTAGTATTGTAGTTGGTCGGTTTATAATAAAGTTTACAAAGAAAACAAGAGAACCGGGTTCTACTTTAAAAAGAAATAATAAACACAGAAACATTTGTCAAAAGTTCGACTAAACAAAACATTTATGCATTTTACTACCTTAACTGATATTAACCATTATTTAAATGCGAAAAAAACCGGCACAGAATGAGATGTGTAAGTGTAATTATCTCAGTACATGCATCTTAAGTTGAAGAAGGCGAGTTTTTCCCGACAGAAACGATTGTGTGATCACGTTTGACATAAAGACGTTTGTTACAACGAATTTTCCTTGAAGAATTGGCATTCTTTATTGCATGTTTGTTATCGATTTTTGCTTTAAAAACGTTTTAAACGTACGTTTCGAGAAAAAAGACATCAATGTCAAAATCAATCAAGGCAGATGTTTGAGAATTGGAAAAAAACAATGTGAAAAATCTTCAGTGAGATTTCAATAAAATTTTACCGAAATATGAGACAAATATTTGAGTCCGTAGATTCTTTTTAACGTGGATTTTGAGCTGGATACACAATTTGTTGGCGTTACCAGGGAGTGCACATGGGTTGCATTAGTTTAGGCTGGGTTGGGTTAGGAATGTTTAGGACTAAATTACAGGTTCTCCTTAGAACTCGTGAAGAAATCTCCCGATAAATTTTAAAATATTTTGAGCTAAATCACAATTTTTGCATGAGACTTTTCGCGTAACCGACGAATGCGCATAGGTTTTGATTAAGTTAGGTTAAGAATGGTTACGTTAGGTTGGGTTGGGTTAGGCTAAGTCAGAGTTAGGGTTAGGGACGGGTCAGGTTTTTTATCCATTATTCAATTTTTTAGGTGAAGCGGAGGATAAACAACACTCGATTAACGACTATAAACCTGAGTCCCAAATAATCGTAAACGACTAAACTAAAAGGTCCATCATCCCCAGCCTACACGACAAAACAACTCAACAACAAAAAACATCATAAATGTGTGAGCTACATATACATTTTTTGTATGACCATTTTTGCCTAACGGGTAACTCACGAAAATATAGAGACTCGCATGCGTTTGTATGACGGGATCATAAAAACATGTCACACATCTGATATGGAGAAAAAATTGGGAATTGTCCCCTCCTCCACATGATAATGAGGACAGCAGCACAGAAAACTGTCATCAGTTTCAGTCACGTTCGAGTTTCAGCAAAATTGCCAAACAAACTTAAAGAAAAAGAGAGAGGGGGAGAGAGAGAGAGAGAGAATGAGAGATCCCTCCGTTAAGAATGGCACGCAAGACGGTATGGGGCAGTAGTATTCGGTACATTACCAATGCAATGGTCGAGCAATGTACTCAGTTCGATCTGAACCAAGAGTACAAACACAATAATATAGCTATCATGTCAGAATGTCAGAGAGCCAAGCAGTAATCAAAGCACTAACTTCAATCATCATTAGCTCAAAGAATATGGAATCATAATTGTTTTGTGTGAACGTTTTCGCGTTACCGGGGGGTGTGCATAGGCTGGATAAGATTAGGTAAGAAATGGTCAAGCTAGGTTTGGTTGGACTAGGGACGTGTTACGTTAGGTAGTGTTAGGGATGGGTCAGATTACATATCCACGATTTAATGATTTTAATCCTTACACACAAATTGATCAGATATCCAACAAAGTAAACAGCATTAAAATCCATGTTAAAATAGTGAAAATCCACGTAACTTCTGCAAAATTTGAAAGCATGAAAATGAAACAAAATAGCATTTATCTACATTCCAAGTTTGCAATTTTTTCAGAAACTAAAGCCGAAATAAAATTTTTATTTGAAGTTGTGTCGTTTCCGATCATTTTGGTTTGATTTTGTTGGAATCAGCCAAACTACAGACCATATCACAGATCCCATGAAGAAATGTCACAATAAATTTTAACATGGATATAATTTTGGGATACGTACACAATTTTTTGCATGACCGAGGAGTGCGCATAGGTTAGGTTAGGCTAGAGTTAAGGACGGGTAGGCTAGGTCAGGTAGGGTTAGGTTTGGTTACTATTAGGGTTAGGTTAAGTTTCATATTAACATTTCCAGATTTGCTGTAAAAATAAAATAAATCTGAACATAAAACAGTTTCAGTGGGATTTACAATCTGTTCTTACCACAGTTGTTTTTATCAAGATTTTAGCGTAGTTTTCAATGGCTTTACCGATTATTCATGTCGTAAATGGTATTTTTTCCCTGCTGCTTACGAAAAACATGTTATTGTGTTAAAAATTGTGCGAGAAAATTGTGTTAAATATTTTGTCACAGTAGGAAATTAATTTAGTACAAGGAAAAAATTAACCAAGCCCTATTTAAGTGTTTATCCTCCTATAATTTTTTTTTAAAGGAGGGGAAAAAAATCTATTCTGGTTGTGCTAATTGCAATTTTTTGGATCCGGTAATAAATATGAAAACCTTTTGCCCCCTCGTGGTGTTAATTGAAATGTCAAAAATGCTAACTTGGTTTGTAAATTTTTCAGTTTAAGCTCAACTGAAGGCTTTTATTTTTCTAAATACTCCGCTTTTTAATTATATATTCTTCATCATCATTCACCTGCACCCACCCGCCAGTTTATATTAAAGTTATAATTTCAATATGTAATTATTATCGATAACTTGTCGTCTTAACTTATTACGAAAGTCCAATTCTTCGTTATACATTGATTCATGCTGGTCCGCCACTGCTTGCTTGTTTTGTCTGTCGGACGTGTTTGAAAATAGTGTCGGCACTGGAGTTAGCGAATCTTGACAGATAAAAACCTGGACCAGGATGTAATAGATCTATCTAAATTTTGTTTTCTTTGATTGTGGTAATGGCTAGGATTTTCTTGTAAACGAGTTACTTAAATTACTGGGAAAACGTAATTTTCTCTTAAAATATACAATAATGACAATCGATTGGTTAATGTAAGCAACTCTTTTTATCGGTGTTTTATAATTAAAGCAAATTTACAAGGATCAATTGTTAATGAGATAAGATCCAAAGGATTCCCCTTTTCCGACGTACTTGGAACGATAGGGCGTAATTGAATGAGTTCGAGGTATTGCACATTACGGTTCTAATTCAAGTCGGGATTTCGTCTAGGTTGTCCTTGAGAAACAAGTCCGTGTACTTCGTAACGAAAACTTGTACTTGGGTCATGTTCGGCCTCTTTTCAGCTCCTGGTGGTCAAGCAGAAAAGTTCCACTGATGATTGTGTTCTTCAACCTTTTTTATATTAATAATGGTTATAATTTGTAAACTTAATAATAAGTTTAACAAAATTATACAGCTTGAAACAATTATTTCGACGGCACAAAAATTAAACGGGTTAGGCTAAAGACTTGATTTTGCCAGCTAAAACAACCGCAAAATTTCATTGTACTTTGTCACGAAGTTTTTTTTATTGCGTCTCCCCCTCAAATAAACAGATTAATACATTCCAAACGTAATCTTCAGTGAGATTTGGATCAATTTTTTGATAAATGCGAAATGCGAGAGAAATATTTGAGGCTGCAGTCGTTTTAACAAATTTCTTTCGGCGTCACCATTTTTGCACTTGGGTTGGATTAAGTTAGGTGGGTTGGGTTAGGGACATTTTATGTTAGGCGAGGCAGCGTCAGGTCAGGCCGGAGTTAAGGTTATGGATAGGTTAGGTTAGATATCCATGATTGTTTTCCAATGAAGCGGAGTCAATTTACGGCTAAAAAACTGATAAAATGAAGAAAGTACAGGTCTCACCCCCGCAGGCAAAATGAAAAAATCTCAGTATAATGTTAACATGGGAATGTTTTTCCACTGGATACAGAATTGTTTAGACGCGGCCATTTTCGCGTTACCGGGGGCTGGATTAGGTTGGGTTAGGAATGGTCAGGTTAGATTGGGTTGGGTTAAGAACGTGGATGAGGATAGTTCTTGCTTCTCTTTTTGTTGGATTTTCTCATCTGGATTATACAAACTTCGTAAGTGTTCGTAAACGTTGGAAAAGCTTACGAAATTTTCATAATCGAATATTAGGTTAGTTGGGGTAAGGATGTGTTAGGTTAGTTAAATTGACATCAGAAATTAGAGGCAAGTCTAATTACCGAGATCTAATAATTAGTCACAAAATAGGCTAAAAATACTATAAATCAAACAGTTAATTAACCATTTAGTGTTGTAAAATATACCATTCATCGGCCATTTAAATATCTCACAATCATTTTCATACAAAGCCTC